GTGAGCGTCTCATATAGTTCCTTGTCCCACAAATCATTCAACCAGAAATATTCCGGGACCTCGAGCGCGTTGAATTCAGTGAGGCTGGCGAGCATGACCGGGCCTCCATGGACCGGCGCGATGTCGACAGGCCGCACAACATTCGTGAGCGGGATGACCTCACCCGCACGCTGGACAACTCCTCCAGCATCCACATGAAGGCGTCGTCGCAGCCGGTACATGAGGATGTCCGCGGTCTTGCAGGGATGCCCATAGTCATCCAGGTCAGCAAAAGCGAAGTCTTGGATGTATACCAACGGTGTCTGCAGCCGTGCATGGAGGACGCAACCTTTGCGAGGGAGCGGTTCGAAGACGATGCGGACTTGAGCAACTAGCGATCCTATAATTTGGCGAGGTTTAGTATGAGCTACGTCGAGTATCTGCAATCTGTCACTCACCATGCTGTCGTAATTCTCCATTCGCGGTCAGGCTGTCAACGAGGACAGCATCGCACATCCCGGAGTCATAGTGTTCGGTGGTATTGCACGCAGAGTCTCGGGTTCCAATCGAACGGCATCGTCGTAGGTCGATAGCGTTTGGATCCGATACGTGTGCCACACATGCACATAATCGAATCCAGCGTCGTGAGAATTCAAAGACCAGCGTACAACACCTTGTCGGCTGTCCAGGTCGTAGCCTTGGATATAGTCGACTACGGCTGCACGGAAATCAGGGAGGTGGTATAGAGCTGGGATTTCGTTGATATGATGTGTCGCGGTCGGTTTCTTTGTGAGATGGAAGGCGACATCTGAGTTATCTGCCCTGACGGACCCTGTCGCAAAGAGATTGCGTGATGCTCGTCGGCCACGAATGCATCGCTCGGCACCAGTACCAGGCAGCGAGTGTGCCACCCACGTACGTGCCACACCAGCAGAGGACGCGTCGTTGAGATCGACAGTATCCATTCCAGCGACTCCAGGGAACACGTTCAACAGTCCGGCATCGTGCGCCTTGAAGAGCGAATAGATCTCGAACATTTGTAGGCGTTCTATGCGGTCAAGATGGCGTGCACATTGTGATCCGTAGCTGGTCCGTTGATGATTCGTGAACATGGTAAAAGGCTTCTTCGCTTCCGTGCGGAGTAGGTGCTCTACAGCGTCGCAGCTCCACTGGGGGAGCGCACCGTGAGACAATATGGCGGGAACGAAATTTGACAGTAATTCGAGCTTCGGGATGTGCCAGTGGTCTAGCGAGCCACGGCCGCCCGCGTCCATGATGGCTTGTTTGTTCTCGTGGAAAACACGTAGGTTGGTCTCCATGCGCGCCAAGGAGGATGGCGTATGTCGAGGACTCTGTGCTGCAAGGAGGAACTCGATGATCGCGCGCATTGCACGCATGAACGCAGGAGTAACAGCGCCTTCAATAGCGACGACGGTGGAGCGCATGACCTCCCGATACATACGCCCCGTCATTTGCTTCACTTCGGAGACCTGGCGCAGCCCAGCATAGCCGATCCGTTTGTGCCGTGCATTGAGGCGACGATCCAGTTCGGCAGGACCAACATGAATCTGACAGGCCTTGAGGAAGTGGTCCCAAAATAACTTCGCGTCGGCGTGCAAGAGGTCGGGAACACTCAAAAGAGAGGGATCAGTGAGATGGTAATCGCGCCACCAAGGTTTGTGTACGCCATTGAGGCCTACTTTAGCGCACTCGCGCGAGAAGTCGTGGACTCGCCAAGGGTCGACTTTCTTTGCGACTTGATGAATCAGGTCTAGTGTGTGCGCTTTCGTACGTGGCGCATGCGTCAAGCCGTCACCGAACTGCTTGGTAGTTGCAAGAGAGACAGGGGAGACGGAGGGACCAACAGCGGTCATCGAGAGTTGTTCGGGGAGATCACCGCAGAGAGCGACGACTGGGGGAAAGACTAGACGTACGTTGCCGTACCCATCAGCCATCTCCTTCCCGTATCTGGCCGCCCACTTCAGCTTGTGCGTTATGATGTCCATGGCCTCATGCATCACACGATTGGCCAGGACACCGTTGTAGTCGTGGTGTACATCGAACTTCGGCACAGGGAGGTAGGCAACGCACATCCAGGCGTTATTGGAGAGATTCGAGCGAATAGCACTGGGTATGGTTGCCAGCGTCATAAGAAGTGGATGCATCTCGATGTCACCAGTGTTGCTCGTCACTGACAGTTTGTCTGAACCAAACTGAATCGGGGAAACGGTGGCGCCAAGCGGAAGCTTGTTCTGTGAAGATATACGGACAACAGGTTTTGTCAGCAAGCGTCAACAAGATTGAAGATCTGAATACAGTACCTGAATGCGATATGCAAGACAAGCGGTGTTGAAGTCCGTTATGACTCGCTGACCGTATGCAGTGTGAATGGCGTTTGGCCCCGGAGAGCAATAAGGGGCGAGTATGGGGTTTCCGACCATGTATTCCAGGCATTCAAGTCCGTCACGCCAGATGAGCAATGGTTGCTGATGGCGCGGGGCTACATCATACCCCTTGATGGTGATTTCAGTTGTACGCCAGGCTGGACCGGATGGGAGCACCTCGATCCATGACCGTAGGGTGTGGCATGTACGAAACGAGGGTGGCCCATGTGTGCGAACCTACATTATCATTGCGTTAGAAGCTAATGACAGCCATGTATACACTCAAAACACATACCCAGCCAAGCTTCAAGAATTCGTCAATTTGAGTGGACGTCAATCGTTCATTCAACCACCGTGCCAATTCCACTTCTACAAGGTCAGCGAAAGGAAAAGCTGGGTTCGTACGACGTTCCTTGGCATATTTATCATGTTCAAAGGCTTCAAATATGTTTGGAAGTCTCTCGCCCCTGAATCGGTGAGCACACTGAGGATGTATGCTAGACGTCTCGCCAGGGCCAGCCTTCGACGCCTGTTCCTGCGTAAATGAATATGGATGTTTGGTGCTGATGTGCGTGATAAGCTGGTCATAGGCAGCAAAGACGAGCCCACAGTCTGCGCATTGGACAGCAAAGCCATTGTTGTAGGGGTTTTCATGGAGACTGGCGTCCATTGGAGTGGCAAGAGCATCCGCGTCAAGGGTCGTCACTGGACTTAGTGTGAATGCAGTTGAGTGTTTGACACGTGCCGCATCTCTACAGGAAGGCAGCCTCACTAAGCAAACACGGTGCGCCTCTCTTTCTTGTGCTCCTGTCATGGCTTCACCTCAAACTCAGCAGCAGCAATCCCTGGAGGCGGAACTGCCTCAGTGGACAGAGTCCTCCGCTGGCACTGACTCAGAGCCTCAGACCTCTACTCGTACTGACCATCGTGGCCGCTCCGTTGGGCGGCATCACCTGGTAGAAGACCTCCGAAGGTCTTTGTACAGCCACGACGAGGCTCATGTCCGATACAATCCGTACCCACAGACCCCCAGTAGTCACCGTTACCTCGATGCCTTTGGCTCGACAGACGTCATACAGGCACTCTCACGTAACTTCCCCTTGGCCATAGCTATCTCAGTGAGTGCATCGTCCCAGCATTCTTGTATCGCAGTCAATCTAACTGCTTTACTTGAGGCCGAGCCTATCCAGCAGTCCAAGCTCGCTACTCTCTCTGTCCGCACCATCACAGAGATGCTCAAAGCTGAGGGGGTGTCGCGCGCTGCTCGCCGCAGGGAGCTCACCACAATGAAGATCCAAATCGCAGAGAAGCAACGACAGATCGCCTTACTCAAGTCGCTCGTCCACTCTCAGGAAAGCTGTATCCAGCTAGCCGATGTCCATTTCGGTCAGCTGGAGAAGCATGCCCGCCAGCGCGACATCGATGTTGATGCTTGCATCCACGAGGATGAGGAGAGCGTCAACCGCTACTTGGAGGGTGTGGAGCCACAGTCCCCGGCTCATGACTCTGAGGAGAGCGAGGACGATGAAGAGGGCGAAAGGAGCAGTGACGGTCTTGATATGTCCAGCTCTGACACCGCTGTCATGGTGGACGGATTTGGCGGATACGAAGCTGTCAAGAAGGCCTAATGCCGGGCCTTGAGCGACTTGTCTACGGTACGTAGTATATCCTGTCATCAACGCCAGCCTGAGGCTGAGCGACTTATGTGTTCTACAGACATTCTCGTCCGAGTCACTGCATATCTTCGCATCACTTTGATCCATCCTATCACTTTCTTCCAGTCCTCACGTACCTCGGCCTCAGGCTTGTATGCTCCTTTTTCCCACTTTCCCATGACAGCTTCACTGCTTTGGCCAGTGGCTCGAGAGTTGATTACTGTTGTACTACGTTGTTGTGCCGAACTTGAATGTAATACTACCATGCGATGTGTCCGATATAGAATCGACGTCTGATATATATAGAACTGGCACATGCAGTTCCCATGTGCAAGCTGACGAAGAGCTCTTGCACGCTCCTCAGACTCAACGACAACCTCGCTCAGTACCCTGTAGTATGAGTCGTCTGGAGCGTGAGTCCAATACTTCAGTCCAACGTGGTCGGGCAAAGGGACCAGTGAAACCAACACAGCGAAAGGTAGGTATCCAATCTGCCCATCATAATATCACTGCTGCAACGCCTTACTGATCTTTCGATTGCCAGAACGTACGCGCTTTCCGTGCTGCCGACATGAATCCATCGGGAAACCCTCAGATGCCTCAAGTTGGGATCCCATCTGAGCAACCATTGGAGTCAGAAGCATACAAGAGTTACAGGACTCCTGCGGAACAGGAGGTGCGTCGCTGTTCAATTATTTTCTGACCAACTGAGCCATGATATATTTATCAAGGCATCAGTGCGGGCGCTGCATCAGTACACGGTGCAGTCTGCCGGCGAGGGCTCGACATACACAGGCCAGCACGCCATAGGTTCAGTTCAGCCTGCTGGCTCTCAGTATGCTGTGCAGCCTACCACGGGCCTAACGTACACGGGCCAGCCTGCCACGGGCCCAATGTACACGGGCCAGCCTGCCGCGGGCTCAACGTACACTACGAGTTCTGTTGAGGGCCCTGCTGGCTCTCAGTACGCCACGCAGCCTGCTGTGGCCTCAATGTACATAGACCAGCAAGCCACAGGCTCGACGTACACAGGCCAGCAACTTGACGCCATGGGCTCGACGTACGCCGCGAATTTCGTTGAGCCTGGTGGCTCTCAGTATGCCGTGCAGCCTGCCGGGGGCTCGACGTACACAGCTCAGCACACCATGGGCTTGGTTGAGCCTGCTGCCGGCTCGATGTACGCAGGGCAGTATGCCATCGGTCTGCCAGGTCAATCAACGGAGGCGGCAGCCAGCTATCCTATGGACGCCCAGGCCACCGAGAGCGGTGGCTATTTGACGGGTACGACTGGCTATGGGGACCACCCACAGCAATACAGTACCGTATCGCTCCCGATGCAGCCTGACCCGGCGAGTACGCAAATTCTACAACCACAGCCTCCGCAATACCATCCGGAATACCTTATCGCACCGCCGTCCAGCATAGGCCCGGAACGTTACCCGATCAGAGACACAAGCCGTTCCAGGGCTGCCCACCCTTACCATAGTACCGCCTCTACTGCTGGCGCCAACCCGGGCCTTGTGGGCCACCAGGCGTCGGGAATGAGAGTCCCTGAGCCAATTCCCCTTGAGGAGTACGGACTCGGAGGTGGAGGCGCACGTGTGATGAACACTAGGCAGATATCTGGGAATTTAACCCAGTCTCACAGGTCAGGATCGCGGCCTACTCAGCCGCCATCGCTCAATACGAGGCGGCCTCAGAGCAGTAAGTTGATTTGGAGGCTCAGGTATTTTGCGTGAATATCAGTTGATGATCATATGACCTGCAGGATCGCCGGAAGACAGTACAAATCAACAGCAAGTCATAGAGAGGCAACCCCAGTTCGAAAATGCCATGCGGTCTGCTGCCCAGCCAGTACTAGTAGTACTCGAGGACCTGTCCAACGAGGAGAAGAGAATCTTACGAAAGAAGTATACAGATACCGCCAGGCCGGGCATCCTTGAGTTCCTTGTGTTGACGTCTCCCTTCCCGTCCCCGGACGCATTGACTGACAAGTGTAACGAGCTCTTGAGGCTGCTACACAACGAGCGGAAGCTCGACATTGAGACTGTTGGAGAAGGCAAGAAACGCTTCAAGGCGTTCACGGACGAGAGGCTCCAGAAGATGGTGAGTCCTAGTAGGATTCCAATTATGTTTAATACCTCACGAGTCACGACATTAATTCACAGCTTAGGGAAATCCCTGGTACTCTTCGTGGGCTCTTCAAACAAGCGGCTACGTATCTGGTCCCGGTCCTCCTGTCCGGCTTCGGACCTCCCGGTATGCACTCGCTCGCCACCGACGACGTCACACGTCTTGTCGATGTTGCTCAGCTATGCGAGGAGAGGCGTATATCCGTCTGGAGGTATCTTGCTGCATCTCCGAGCTCTACAGGGCTTCTGCATGTTCTCGACGCCGAGGTGAGAACTCGGGCTTATGTCAACTGTTCTATACCTTTACTGAATAGTTCCCGAAGGGCAATGTCACGGCCCCATTTGAGAGAGATGGCATCGTCCCTTCTGTTCTGGATGCCGTCATTTTCCAGCGTCAAGGCGGTCTGTATTACACCCACACCCATCTCTTCTCTGAAGGTGTCCCGGACACGCTGGTATCTTTGGCGGCTTCAGCAGTGATCTCGAGCCTGCGTGAGTTCGAGAGCGGTAGACGCTCCAGCCGTGATTTCTCCCGCGATGCGAACAACACCGGGTGCGAAAACCTTACCAGATACGTTCAAACTGTCAAGGCCTCTGCAACACTGGGTGAGCGTTACAACTGTGTTAATCTCAATGTTGTCCAGCACGGCAGGTACGTCAGTTCTCACATTTTCTACTCAATATACTGATTCGGAGGACTGTATCTCAGAGGGTGGGGACCAGAGTAGGTGCTGAGCATTTGCGGGGCAACAATGGGTCTTTGCCGTGAGTTGCCTAAACTGACTCTCACTCAATATTCAAGACACTGACCTTCGACCCGCCACTCGCTATGTCATGTAGCCTATCGGAACGAACAGATGTATTGTACTTGTATAAATCCAGGCGCCGGTGCCACAGTTACGTCGATGAATGTAGTAAGAAATTCCATTTTTTTCTCTTAGCCAGCCGCAGACAAATGCGTTGCAAATGCGCTTGGAAAACTAAGATATGATTAACGCGCCACCTAGGGGGCCTCTGCTCCTAGCCCAATAAGAATCTATGCCGCCCGTACCCTTAAGATCGATCACGGGCGATGCGAATTGGCAATTCGACGACTTTGCAGATGCACACCCTGTGATCGGGTCGGCGCTCTGACCTGACCACGACCTGAGAAACAAGGCCTCGACAGCCTCCAGTGTAGCACCAGCAGACCTTATGCGGCGAGCTCACGACGACCTCCCCGATTCAAAAGCGTGACTTGAAGATGTGCTGCTGGCACACCGTGAGAACTCACGCCGACGCTTGCAAGTCTCTCGTGAGTCGTCGTGACCTTTCTCCCTCCTCTCATCTCCCCCCCATGCAACTTCGATGAAATCTTTGTCTCTGTCTGCGGCAGTCGACGACACAGCTGTTGATACATGCTACAGGTACCTCAGCATGTGTCCGGGAATTGCCAGCGTTGTCGCGAAGGTGAGTCCTTATGTGTTCCTGAAGGTCCCAAGCAGCGTGGTGACTCCGAGAGTAAAGCTCGGAGGCTCTCCGTTGTCTTGCAACTTGAAGTGAACATCAGATAGTGGGTCATCCTTGTTTGATGTGTTGGTACTTGCTCATGCTTACTCGCCATCACATGCATAGGGACCACGGGCTATGCCTATGGTACTGGGTCTTTTGGTGGTGTCACACAACTTCGGTGAGCCTGCATCTGTCATATCGACAGGAAGACAAGAACGAGCAACATCAAGTCACAGGTAAGTGACCAAGATCCTCCTCTCGCGCAAATCTGAGCCAACTGACCACCGTGATAGACACTGGCCCACCGCCTCACAGCCTTTCGCCTCAGCGTCCAAGCACAACGTATTGTCCGTTTCGGCTTCGCGAACTGGCCCGAAGCGAGTGTCCAACTGAGCAAGCAGTGATTGCCCTTTCGGATTGTCGCCGGTTTTCTCTTTGACCGTCGCCTGCATCGCCGACGATTCGCCATCGGTCGTCACTGATGCGCTGACCGCTCGGTCGAGAGTAACCATAGTTCGTAGACCAGTATATCGTATTCACTCCAGTATCGTAATGATACAATACATATCATCATTTTCTGCATTATTCAATCACGAGCCCGCGATTTGTTCCAACAAATTCAATGGTGCGACTGGTAGTTCTGAGGGGTCAGTAGTAGTCTGCTTCAAAATGACGGCCCTACACTGGGACAGCCCGTTAGCGGAGTTACATAAGCCACTTCATCTCCGAAACGCGTGCGCAAATCTCGACGCGCTCGACGCGTCGCCTTTGCTCGAACCCCAGCCTGACGATGGTAAGGCTCTTGTCGATGTTCATCACGGTCACGAACGTTATCGTGGCGCTGTTCGTGGGCCGGGTGCTGCTCGTGGTCCTCGTCAGTGAGTATTCGTCGTCGACGGATCTTGAGCGTGTGCTGATCAGTGCGCTGTGCAGCGATGGGTATGGCCCTGACAGGCGGCGTGGCGAACCTGTTGTTTGCGCTGATCAACCCCGTGGCGACGTACTGGGCGTTCGGCGCGGACTTTGTGTTTGCAGCGGGCACGCTCTTCGTTGCGAAAGTGTGTCTTCCGTACGACCAGAGCGTCGGCGGCCCGGTGTGCTCTTCCAGAGCATGACTCAGGTGTGTGTGATGTCTCCGTATTGTGTGCGTATGGCTAATATAATGGGTCCTGCAGCTCGGTGTGTCGTTCGGTTTGGCGATTACAAGGATCGTGTACGACTCGGAGCTCAAGAAGATGTCTGCGAAGGACGGCTTCGACGTCGACGGGACTGCCCACTCTCACCTGCTCGCCCGTTTCTACCTGCCAGGCAGCCCTCGCCCTCATGATTGCTCTCGTCGCCCGTCTCACACGCTTGCCCGCCCACTACCCACCCGCTTGCCCGCTCTCGTCCGCCCGCCTCCGTCTTCTTGATGACTCGCTCGCCTACCTGCTCTTGTCTATCCGCCCATCATGCCAACACGCCTGCCTGCAAACTCACCCTCCTGCTCGCTCGCCAGCGCTCACTGTCAGCTTGCTCCTTACCTCGCTCGCCCGCCATTTCGCTGTACCCCTCGCCCGCCTCACACTTGTCTGTGTACTGCTCACCTGTTCCGCTTGCTGACTGTCTCGCCTGCCCACCACCTGTCATCCCTCTATCCCCTCTCGCTCACTGTCTCGCTCGCTCGCTATCTCGTGCGCCTGCTGTCTGCCGACTGTCTCGCTCACCGACTGTCTTGCTCGCCGACTGTCTCACTCGCCCGCTGACTTGCTGTCTCGCCATCTCGCTGTCTCACGCAATGTCCCGGAGTAAGAACCACAACTTCAAAAGCATCCATGTGACTGTTATACCCACACCTGCACAGCCTCTCATCCACGGTTCTTCTTGCACGCGCCCTCTCGCCTGCGCTCTCATCTACTCGGCCAGCCGGCCACCCACTCACCTGCACGATCGCCCATGCGATTGTCCACACGTTCACACACCCACTGCCCTGTGGACCCGCCTACTTGCACGTAGACCCAAAAGCGTGTATGAGCGAACGAAAATACGGGCTACGAGAGTGATGATCTCGAAGCAGGTGTACGCCGGACGAGTACAAATCATTAGTTTATGTATTAGATTATATCGTGATAGATCTCAGTTCTGCCACCTGCCGATCTGCCGCTGCCACCCGCCGAGTCGCCGTGGCCACGGCATTGCTCGGCCATCACAGAATGGGTAGCAAAGGGGCTGTCCCGGTGTTGGGGGCGCGTTTTGAAGCAGACCCTTAGAAGACCGTCCTCTCCCCCACTCAAAGAGGTTTTCTTTAGGGTCTGCCTAGGGGAGACTAGGCCAAACCTGGCCCGCGTGTATGGATCGTGCCATGGATGCATGACCGTGCACGCTTCTCTCGTACGCTGCTCTACTCTGACATGCGCACACCCCGGCTCTGCGTGTATGGATCGTGCCACGGATGCATGATCCGTGCATGCTTTGCTCGTACGGACGTCGCTGCTCTACTCTGACATGTAACACCCTGTCCTGGAACACGTCGTCAACATCATCATGATCGAGCAGAATCGGCCCATCCTAGAGGTTATCTCACCAACCTCTCAAACAAGCTGCCCGTGCTCGTACATGGAGTCAGCGAAGAGGCTTCGCACAGTGTGACGAACTCTGCGTATGTCGCTGAAGCAGTGAATCCGTCTTCCGACATAGCTCTTGACGTGTCTGCAGCAAAGGTCGTTCCCGGAATCAAAAGACAACAACAGCGACTGGTCAGACATGCTGACCTTGGCACGCGTCCTCTCCATGCGTGGTCCACGGCGCAGTTGGACAATCAGGTATCGCAGGTACGAGTTCCAGGAGCTCCCTCGGCGGCAGCAGTACTAAATGTCGGTCTCTCAAGTACCTCAGCCTGTCGAAGTCGTTGTGAATGGCGTTCCGCGGGCTCCGCAGGTCAAGCCTGCTCTGCCTACTCAGTCTGCTCGGCCCGTCCACCCTGATACGGGCAATCATCCTCCGCGGCATGCGTTCAAGCACGCCTCGGACATCCCTCCGCCACTCCAGCCGAAACGACCAGGCCAGCTTGTTGCTCCGTCACCCATTGCAGGACCTTCCACTCCCGCCTCCGCCGCCACACTCCCCAATCCACCTACGCCTGCGCACGTTGCGAGTTCATCACAGACTCCAAAATCGTTCAGCCACCCTCCTCCGAAGTCGGCGTCCAAAGTCAGCACTCAGCGTTCGAAGCCTAGTTCATCGAAACGCCAGTGCCAGCGCCAGTGCCCGCTCTCGGCGACGCGTCTACATTGACCGCCACCTTACCGTCTACGCTGACCGCTGGGCCAGACGTTGTACCAGACCCTTTGCCCGCCCCGCTGGAACCGCCAAGGCCAGCTGGTAATTCGAGATCAACAGACGTGACGGCGAGGCTACGCGACAATGGACTGGAGGAGACTTAATATGTAATGTCTACGTAGGGCTTCGCCCTCTGTGACAAAAAAGGGATAACAAACAAACAGATGTGAGCTGAGATGGGAGAGCCATGTCAAGGCTGGCCGCTACGTGAGTACCCGAGACCACGTCAGCTGTCATCTGGCGAGTCTTACACAAAGATTATAGCTTTAGGGTGTACTGAATCGATTTTTCGCTCCCTCGTCGAACGAGCATCCGGTCCCTATTGACCTCCTTGTCAGCGGTTCGGTCCCTTCGGGATCGGGTCCTTCATCTAGGTGGTTACTGCTACGTTGCATTCTACATAAGGTAGAATCAAATTGACGCGTCATAATAGTGCCGCGATGGTGGTCGCCTCCACACTTTCGTTCCTCGCAACCAAACCACAAGCTCGGCAAATCGACGACAGGCCAGCTGGTCGAGATGGCGACGGAGAACGAGCGGCGTGTCGGTACGTCTGCAGCCCACTTCATCCACTGCAGTTCATTCATTCCAGCGATTGCAGGCGTCAACAGTGGTGGAATGGACCAGGCCGCCTCAGTCATCTCCATGCCTTCGTGGCATTGTACATCACGTTCTTCCCCTTCCTGCACGCGGAGCCGATCTTCCTTTCCGTGTTACATACCAATCTGTGCGCCGCGTTCGTCTGTGCCAACTCGCTGATGGTCAGCGGCAAGGCTGTCGGCGAGTCTTATGCCATCCATCCTTGAAAACGCTCAAGAGACATATCAGGCGCAAAGACTCGGTACAACCTGCGCGTGGTAGAGACGCTCGCCGGTGCTTGCATCCACGCGCGTCACCTCAACGTCCAGCTGCAGCCTATCGATCGTCCGACCCTGTGCATCGTGTTTGAGCGGTGGCTCAGCTACACCGAAGCGAAGGGCCAGCCGACTGCGCTCGACACGGCCAAGCTCGAGGCGGGCCTGTAAAAGGTAATGCAGCAGGTGGACTGCGCCTGGCAGGGAGGGGCGACGACGAGCAGCTGGGGCTGACGATGGAGGAGATGATCAAGGAGGGCGGGCTGGACGAGGCGCTCTTAAATGAGGTATACCTGAGCTGGATCGAGGGTGCGTCTGCCTCCGCTGTTCGGCCACATCCACTGGACACTGACGCCGCGCCGTTGTCGATCTTCGCAGTCGAGGCGACGCACTTCCAGATCTACAAGCGCGTGAGGCACGTGTTCGAGGAGTCCGTACGGGTGATCCAGTTCCGCGCGCGGCGTGTCTCAGTCTGCGCGCAGCGGACTCGCCAGACCTCCCAAAGAGCGTGGTCCGGGAGCTGGGCGATCTCATGGACACGTCTCATTACAGCTCGAGCAGGTGTTCAGAGAACTCATGTCCGGAGACGAGCTCATCCGCATCGCGAAGGAAGTCGGGGCGTATGCATCCAGGATCACGGGGGAGTCAACGGCGCGAGGCATGTGTCTTGCTGTGCGGAGGAAGCTGATGTGTCCGGTGGTGTTAAGTGCTGGTCGGGGCGGGTGCACAGTGTCGCTTGTGGCTGAAGATAAGGTGGACACGTTCATTGAGAAGCTCGTGGCGACGTACCTTGAGGGCGAGGCTCTGAAGCAGGTCATTTTCGCAACGAAGCCGAGTAGCGGAGCATGTGGTGAGTCCCAGACCTTCATAATGCTCGCCGACACACATGTTGATGCAAAAACAGTGTCGAAGCTTGAGTAATCGTTGGTATGACGAAGGGAAAATGTACGAGATCAGTATCTGTGTCATTTCCCGCCCAAGACCCAGTCGTATGCAAGTAAAACCTTATTGACGTCAGCTACTGGCCGAGCAAGTCCGACTGCGCGCCGTCATCACGTCAACCTTCTCCGGTGCGCCTTCTCACCCTGTCAGACCGCTCGATACCCACTCAAACCTCAGTTTTGCCTCCCGCCCAGTTCAGAGGCAGTTCGTCCTCGTTCTTGACGATGCCCCCAGGTTCGTTCTACCAAGGGTTCCCATATAGCTTTTTTGCCATAGTTGCTGATGTCCGTCATTTGACAGTATGCCACCAGCCGGTCATTTATGGCGTGCAGCCATCTACCTTGGCTCTCCTTCATGGCAAGAGGAGGTTAGTTCGGATTCTCCGCCCCGCCGACGACACGCTCACAGACTCTGTCATTACGATACTGACTTAGGCTTTCCTTTCGCGTTGTTGAAAGTGCTGAGGATCGCTCCTAAGGATGGTCGAGGCCGCTTCTTGTTTCTGCCTTTCCGTAGAGTTTCTCCCAGTTTCCATATCTCCTGTCGGACAGGATGTGTTCCGTTGATTCGGTCTGGCCGCATATTGTGCATTCTTGTCGCGCCTGGGGTTCTTCGGAATATCCTGGTCGTTGCCAGTTGGTTCCGACCATGTAGACGTCGTTAAAGGTCATCCATGGGAAGTACCTCACCTCTCGTTGTATGTCTTTGTGTCTAATTCCTTTCCAGATGTATGCTTCCGTACAGTCTCCGAAGACCTCAATGTTGTCGATCGCGCGGATCATGTTGTCCACCCGATGCCTTGGTACGCTAGTTTTGCGTCGTTATCTTCGGTTTCGCTCCGCTGACCAGTAGTCTCCCGTCGATGCTCAGGTTTATCTCATCGGGCTTCAACCGGTGCGGGAAGTTGTCGCCGAAGGAAGGGTGTCGAATACGGCGATCACTTCGTGCGCCACATCATCTCTCGCAATTTTTACCACTTCGCTTCCTTGCTCAACGATCTGAAGGGGGATGTAGGTCTTCAGCGCCGATCAAGCTGCCACACTACTCCGCAAAAGCAGCCCGAGTTCAAGATTCTGGCAGGGATTTGCCAGGACTGCGAGTTGCGTTCGCGGCGACGTGGTCGGCAGTACCCAGGAGTCGCGCGAGATGTGGACGACTTCCACCGTTAGCGCGCACGACTCAGCGCTGTCCTTCTACCTACGCTAAACATCACTTTCTACAAAATTTACAAGGTTCGTAGCAAACGCCATCGGTACTTCCGCGACGTACATATGGTGATTAAACTGCGCAGATACTTTGGCCGTTCTTGACGATTCTGATGTGCCACGATCGCGCTGATCGCCGATCACGGTGGTCAGCGGCGAGCGAGCGAGCGGCACACGCCGATGGTGAGGGCGCGCTGGGAAGATGCCCAGCATGCGAACACGGCCGACGAACGGACCACGGGTGCATGAGGGAATGAATCGGAAGGATGGGAGAATGGGCAGGCGCAGGGCGCAGTCATGATGACATGAAGCGCGACGCGCACGCCGACCGCGAGCGTGCCAGGCGAATGCCCAGCACGCAGACACGGCGGACGAACGCGTGCGCAGGCGTGCAAGCGGGCACACAAGCGGGCCACGGCACGCACAGCGAGGGCGAGGGCGTGTACAAATAAGGACGAGATGCCCGAAGAGATCCAGGCGCAACGGGCGAATGAGGTTTACCTTACAAAGCCCGAGACGTGGTCTGCATCCCGGACACATCTGTCCCCCGGACTCGAGTCTATTCACCTCTCCACTACGGCCTCGCGCTCCGCCTCGCCCGTCGCACGCCAGGATTCCGGAATGGTGGTGACAGAAGCGGACCTCGCGGCGACGGCGAACCATCTCACGCGCGGGATCGAGCCCAACGCGGGTGGTGGCGGCGCGAATAACATCCACAGCGGCACGCAATACACGCGCATGTACGCGATGACGGTGCTTTCGACCCCGCGATGTTTTTGAACCCTGCTAGTAGGTCCAGCCTCTCGATGGAACAAGCGGCGGCGGCGAATGGCCAGGGACTTCATGCAGTCGGGAACAATGATGCGCTCTCAGCGCCGATGTCCGTCGTGTTGCTCAATGAGTATGCCGGCGAGGAGGGACTCGGATGTGCGGAGGACATTGAGGAGGACATTGAGGAGGAGTTCGATGCAGAGGATGAGTCACGGACGAGGATGATGATGATGATGATGAACTCAGCATTTATTAACCGCAACAAGCAAACATTATGCTACATAAGACGCGGCGGACGCCGGCCTGCACATGCGCGGGCGTTTAAACGCGCCGCCCAGACCTGCGTCCCGTTCGAGGGTAGTGTAGTAGTGTGTACGCGTGAGGTGTATATAGTAATGGTTAGGCAATCAAGGCGGGTTGTGAGGTAGTGTCTAATGGTGTGGTCTGAGGTCGGAACGTAGCACGCATGGTAATAAATAGCGAATAAGGAAGAAAAAAAGGGGTGTCCATACTGTCCATACTTGGCTCTCCGTCGTCCTTCTCCTACATAGGGGTGCAAGCCGGGATTGCCCCCCTAGTGCACGAGGTGTCGCCGGTGTTGTTGCCGCTGGTGTTGTTGTCGCTGGATGGGGGAGGTGGGAACGGTACGTCGCCGTGCAGCTAGTGCCGTTTACTCTTCGTCGTCCTCATTCTCATTCTCCTCCTCTCCTTCGTCTTGGCCCACGGACGAGGATGAGGATGGGAGCGTCGCGGCAACGAGGCGTTGTCGAGCGGCAATGAATCGCTGAGCATGAACCGGCCTACATAGCAGCCGCGCGAGGCCTACGCAGATGAGTACCTTCATATAGGGCAATCCGCGAATATGGCCCCGAAGCCGACTCCCGGAGGCCCGGAGGGAGGTGATTTAACTTAGCAAACAACTCAAGCTGCGATTCCGTGTCTCGCAGACTCATATTTGGATTTGCGAGCGTCCGCTACCTTAGCGTAGCACGGGCTTCGGCCAGTAGCGCAACAATAATACATGGCAATGGCAGCGCCAGTAAGAGGCGTTGCGCGTCCCCATTTCCGGAGCGGCGACACTGCCATAGCACAAGACGAACGGTTCGCGCGCATCGAGGACATCACCGCGCGCGGCGGGCGGGAATTGTGCTTCCTCGGCGAGGGCAATGCGGCTGTTAACTTTTGCCATATTTTGTTTCTGATACAGGAGTAGTGAAACCTATGATACGTGGCCGCCATGAGGAACCGGAGACAAATTTAGACACGGGGCAAGTGAAACCTGCACGGGGCAGTGACGCCAAGCCATTGCAAGTGATGAGATGCGCCGGAACATGTTTTGGCTGGCTCTGACATGTTTCAGTCTCAGATGCCAAGCATTGGCATGCTGCCAACACAGCCCCCTGACTCATCCTCTGTCTGACTGCCAGATCACATGTTGGCTTATCCATCACTGACTGGCAATAGTTACTTAAGCATTTTTCCTGCTATATATAGAGGCCTCTCAGCTCCTTCATCTCCATCAGTTCCTCCTCTCCAGCACCTCAGTGAGTCCTTTACCTCTTGGCCTCAGCTCTATGCTCTGCATTCTAAGGACATGATTGCAGAATATTACCTCAGCTAGCTCTCTGTCTCCTAATGGTGTCTACAAAAGATAAGACAAGGATTGCTTCCCAAAAGGCTGTCCAAAAAAAGAAGAGGCAAAACAGGACATCTGTAAAGTTTTCCCTTGCTTGGTGACATGGCAAGATGTTCTAATCCACCCTTTGTTAGCTTTACCTCACAGAAAAAATCCCTGTCAGGTACACAAAACCTGCAGCACCTGTCATTGAAGATGTCAGTATGCTAGAAACCCAGCAAATAAAAGTGGAGGGAACCAGGTATGAGTGAGAATAGTTCTGTGGCACATACAGCTGAAAACTGCCTTTCTTGCCAGATCTGCTCAGAGCAGGGAGCAAAGAGCCAAGAACACCATGAGGGCCTTCTACCAAAAGGCCTTCAATGCCATGGATGTTTTCAGGGTCCCTACTACTCTTCAGGCTCTGGCTGCTAGGCCTGTCTCTGAGGAAGGCAAACTCCAGGCCACCATCAAGATGCATGAGCTGATGGATGCTACTGTGCCTACCCAATGGTTTTCTGCCAGATGGGAAGATTCAAATGGCAAGACATTGGCTGTCAATTGGTCTTGGCAGAAAAAGGTAGATCATTTGACCTTTTAAAATCATCTTATGTTGACCAATATTGCCAGCTGCCAGATGCTGAGACCTCAAAGGATGGGACCCCAGAGAATAACCAGCCCCAAGTTAAACAGCCCAGGGTATGTCTGTTTTAGTCTGATATATAGGAATCTGCCCTTAACATATGCTTTTAGCCCTTGGAGTGCCAGTCCATTGGCAGAACCCAGGAGCACCATAAAGAAATGAAGAATGATTTGGTATTCAGTGGCTTGAGCGTCAGTTGTTGCTTCAGTATGAGTTGATCATACCTGATTATTCTTCTAGGACCTAGATGTGGAGACATTTCTTGTAGCTTCCCAATGTCTCACTGCCCATCATTGGCCAACCTATGAACTCAGAGATGGAAGGCACAACACAGACCTTATCCCAGGTCTTGCTAATGGGAATCTTGTCCATCTAGGAAGCAATCAGGGGTTGTACACAGAGGATCCTGCTCTTGACCCAGAACAAGTGATACCTTATGATGGAGTCATGGAGAGGACAGGCGTATTGCACTTGGTGGAGTCTTGGCTTCCCCAGGGCCACCCAAACGTATGTTCTAAAGCTGTTTGTAGCTCAAACTTGCTGGCTGACCTGTCAATTATCAGGGGAGGTTGGTTCCCTCCAAGGACATAACACCTCCTGGTGGCAAGGCCTTAGAGCTTGAACACTACTATGAAGCCACCAAGCATGTGGTGGAAAAACTGGCTCTTATGTTCCAGGTATTTTTTGTTGTTGTTTGTCCCTTTCACAAAGGGATAAGATCTGTTGTTCAGGTTGCTTTCCCTGAGGAGTATCTTCTCTATGAGAAGGCTTTTCAGGCTGGTGTATGGGAGCCAGCTCATCCAGGTCCTTGGCTGGGGAGGGCTGTGGTATGGAAACTACAAGTGGGGCCGCACAGGGATGGATTGGATGCAGGCCCTGCTTGTATTTTCAATTGCGGGCACTATACTGGAGGGGAGGCTATTCTCATTGACCTGGAGGCCAAGCTCAGGTATGCTAAGTCCCTCTGGCACTCAACATTCTATCGTTGACGTCTTCCAAAGCTACAGGCCAGGAGATGTCATCATCTTCTTTGCTGGGGCTGTCTACCATGCAGTAGCACCTTGGCTTCCAGCCCCAGTCCTGGATTTGCGCCTCCAAAAAGCCCACATAACTGCTGGAAGAGTTTCCCACGTGCTATTTTCTCCTCATGCCACAGTGCAGCGTTTGCATGACAAACCATACTTGTGGTGGAAATTGACATGTGATGGCAAATATCCCTATATTCCTCCCAAGCAGACTTGACTACATACGTGCTTTGAATCTAGATGGGATTGGCTGTTATGACATCTACCCAACGTGATTTGGCAGAAGTGGCTTTAACATTCGTCTTCCTCCTGCCTTGTCCAATTCATGCAAGCCAAGACTGTCATAGTTTGCACTTTGTGTGCCTTCAACAGGCGGCGCCACTGAGAGGCTTCGCTGTCCAACGCTTTGACGTGATTGTCCCCACGCTACGATCACTTTGCTCGCTTCCTGGACCACCTACAATATCCTACGCTTCAGCGCGTATGTGCTTTGTTCCGTTGGCTTTGTTCCTTTGTCTCTCATCACCTGCTGCGCACGAAGCGGCTCTGTATCTACTTAGCATAAATAGGGCTCCCTATGAGCCCTATAATTCATCCTTTCATCTCAATCCTCTCTCGTCCGAGTGGCGAAGTCTGCCTGCTACGACAGGTTGTGAAGTTATCGCACCACGCCGGGCGCGACATTGAACGGAGCCGGATCGACAGCAGTCCTAGGACGAGGAACAATCATGATGGTTGCAGACGTAGAAGGTCAGCTGAAGACCACTACCCTCAAGGATGTTGTTCACGCACCTGCAATCCCCCACAACCTTGTCTCCCTCGGACGTCTTGAAGCAGGCGGGAACAAGATCGAAATTAGCGACGGGGAGCTAGCCGCGAAGGACAAAAAAGGGCGTACCTTTCTTCGCGGCAGCCGAATCTCCCGCCACCAACGGGGTCAGGGAAGCGTACAGCTTGAGTGCCCACTGGGGAAGCCTCTCCACCCGTCCTCCATCACGTAGTGATCTGTCTGCGTGCAGATGCTCGCATCGGATAGGCCGTATGTGGGGTCAACTGCGCCCGATCTGGGGATACATCGAGAATCTGCGACGCATTAATCAGTATAGACCCTAACCTTTACGCTACGTGCGGGTGTTCGCCGACTTGTCCGGACTCTCGTGAGGTCTTGCGCGCAGCCGCCTATCAATTTAGCCTTTCTGACACCATGCCTGAGTTGTGTTTGACGTGTAGATCCCGAAAACGAGATCGCCAAGGCCATACGATGAGTTTCGAGCGAGGTATACCGTATTGGGCGTTGCGCGAAGGCGACGGCCGCGAGACGCGAGGTGACTGCATGAGGCGTGTGGCGCGGCGGGACCTTCAGCTTCATCCGCGGACTAAATATCGGGCAACCGTAGCGCACGTTGCGGCTGGAAATGTTCGACGCACATTCTGTTCACATCGTTTGCTGTCGTTTGCTTCCGAATGTTGCACTGCTTCGTTGTCGTTGTGCTGGTTGTGCTGCCCATGCACTTACATGTGCTTGCAGCAGGTCGAACCTACCGCGCCGCAGACTCATCTTGGCTATTCTGTATATGGCAGTATGTTACATAAGCATACTCTCCCCGAACAAAAGTCAAATATTGTATACTCCAATAGACTCCAACTTCCTCTCACGAACACATCAAATGATGATTGTTATATGTATGATGTATGTGCAGACACCTTCAAAATAAGTGAAGTGCGCGAGGACGGAAATAACAACCATACTTAAGCTTCGCCCCATCGAACGTACCACGTGACCTAAGACTGGGCTGAGCGAGCGCCGCAGTGCGTCTCCGAGTCTATGTAGTTTAGTTGACCGTCTTGTGATGCCCTCCGACTTCCTGCCCACTTGACACAGCGGTCCTCTCATGTCGCGCTCAACCTCAGCTGCAGTAGTCCCTGCTTCTCAGCCTACCAACGCAAGTCAAGAAGACCGCTTCCTCTGCGGTTGCGCGAGATGCTTGCGGAAGGACGACTGTTGGCGAACGCGAGCGACTTGGTACCGGCACGAATCTCAGCGCGAAGCTGACATTCAAGCGGGGCGCATTCTACGTCCGGACGCTACACTAAGGACTCTCGCTTGATTTCCGCGCGCACAGCGCGTTCGTGACGAAGAAGGTGCCGATGAAAGGGGGAAACGCGCACGGAGTACGATTCAAGCTGAGGAGCTCGATGTGGCTGCGATGACGGACGCGCAGCAGCATCACGCAGGTGCCGTATATCAAGCTGGGGCTAATATTCGTGATGGAGAGCAGGGAGGGGGAGACACTGATCCCGGTACGCAGTGCTCACTATGAGTCGTACTGACTCCTGCGTACATGGATGCATGATAATAGCCTCGAGTATCCACACGGGAGTCGCGACATTGGACATGTAGATGAAGCCCAGGATGCTCGTGCAGAGCCACCGTCTGAGCGGCAGGAGCTCTCTCAAAGCGTCGCTGGGATGGCAGTCCAGACCGATGCGGTGGCCATCCCTACCCTCGGATCGCTCCCAACATGCACTCTGGTATTAGTAATGCGGGCGGCACCGTTCCCGTCATCGAGATGGATACCACTGGCGCCGGCGCGGCGAACATCTACACTTTGTCTTCCTCCTCCCACCTCCAGGCCCCGAGGCCCCGGTATACGTTTCACTAACGTCGCCCTCTGCATCATACACGACGTGCACGCGCTCACCGAAGTCGCACACATCGTCGATGCGGCCCCCCATCCGAGTTGTCTGGCACGCGCAGCAGTACCAGTGCTCAAGCTGGCATGGGTCAGAACAGCAATGCCGCGATGAGTGCAATCGCAGGCGAGACGGACGCTGCGGCTCACATCCGGTCAGCTGATTCATTCTCCGAGTCGAGCAGTTACTGACGTGCCTGCGGTCGGTCTCCACAGCAACGACGCACCAAATGCGGCACCTCCTAGTCACGGTGCCGCGAATGAGGCTCGAGACACCATATCTCAGGCTTGTGGCGATTCCGCCGGGTCGTCGGCAAGTCATGTTGCAACACCGGGGACAACGAGTCCCAGCCTACTATAGCTTGACTCGCAGCAGTTCCCTCGGGCTGTCAGCCGACTCGTCGAGGGACGTCACTTGCCAGCCTCCGAGTTGGGAGAGTGTTGAAGGTCACACTGGCTTGACAAATCCCGATAGCAATGGCACTACGAGTGCTACAGACGAGACAGTGGACACTCAGACCTCCTGTTCCGCGCAGGCCTCGAGTCACATCAGCCGCCCTCAGGTGACTGGTATAGACGTGCACTCTGAAAATCTCGGCGGCGATACCACAGTGAGCACCACTCGCGTGACGGCAGACGCGAAGGACCCAACATCATCCGAGTCTAGTCCCCTGCCAACTCCCGCCTCGCAGGACGCCGACGCCGCACACGTTTTGGCGCCTCTTGCAAAACGGTTGTAGGTTGGCTCAACTCGTATTTGTGTGTTCCTGCTGATCACAACTCCGAGTACTAGGCCGATTTCCCGCAGGGCTAGAAGTCCTGTTACGCCTTCGCCTGAAACGGAGGTACCTTCGGCCGCCGCGTCTGATCCTACACCGCAACTACATGATACATCGACTTCTGCAACGGGCAAGCAAGCTTCGACGTCGAACGAGTCTGTAGGAGCATCTGCCGAACTAAGACCTACAATCAATGAGAAGTTTGTTCCCTTACTATTCTCTCGTCTTGTTGTGCTGACAATGATGATCATTCGGCTCTGTAGGCAGGTTCATCTGGCGAGAAATATCCAGGCCCACGGCGGGGATGCACTCCTTTGTGATTGGCGCGAGGCATACAAGAACGACCGGAAGAACGAGACAAAGTGAGCGGGGAGACCGATGTTTCATCGAGTCATGGAATGTGTTGCCATTGCTCACCCTGGGTTTTGTAGGCTTTAAGAAAGGAGACTGAGGCAGCAAAGGCGAAGGCGCGTGTACTGCATTCGTCTCAAAAGATGTTGATCTCAACGAATTGCCTTGGCGCAGCGCACAAATGCGAAAGGGAAGGCGAAGGCTCAGCGACTCGCGCCGGTAGAACGATCTACGAAGACGCGTGTTTCACATTGAGCTACGAACTATGTAGTACGTCGACTAACGGGCATGGGTTCTTGTAGCTCAAAGCTACTAGCAGTATATGATGCCGTAGATTGTCACGCTGCTACGAATTGCCGAATATATGTATGACATTTGATAGAATTATACGCTGCTTGAGGAGCTTGACCGCGGACCAGTTCTATGACAATCTACCAGAATCGTTGGCTAGGTACTACTCAAAGCGACACCAAACGATAGCTACGTCAGTATGAGTCGGTTTTTGTCTGTCGAGAGGGAACAACTCGGAATTATGGGGCTGACGTCGACCGCAATCTATGGAAATCGACATCATCCGATCTTCGTCTCATTTTGGTTTTAACGTCGATTCTGGTCGAAGACCAGCGGTCTGACACCGGACAATCTACGCGAATCACTGAAACTTCGCCGTTAGCTAGCGCTATGTAGCTTCAAGCTTCAAGCTTCAAGGGCGCTGTTTGCAAGCGACAGAGACGAGCGCGATGGACGGAGCAGAGGAAGGGAGGGCCTCGTTATCGCGCTTCGCGCTTCAAAATCAACACAAAGTCAGCAAGGGCACGAATGCACGCGAAAGGGGGCCAGTACCCGGATATCGCAAGCGCGCAGGGCCGGCGAAGAGTCCGACAGTACTCCGCGAAACCCAGTGGCACAGGTTCGTAGCGCCATCCTACGACGGGGTCTGCCTGCCTGGAGAATAACGCGCTGCGCATACTATAGTCGGTAGCATTTATTTCATGGGACTCATATCACTGGACTGATCGTCTATGTCCGTGAGCGACGACTCAGAATTCCCGCCGCACCGAGACCATCCCTTCAGCACACCAGGCTCAAAGATGCTTCTTGTACAACTTGATCATCGCCTCAAAGGATCCTTCTTTTCCCGCCTTCACCTTCGGGTTGCTCTGTACGACGCCGATGTCAATCACGTCGACCCGTTCAGACGAAGCATGTGCTCACCATGTCATCGCGAACAGCAAAGCCATGGGTACATGCATCCCAATACTATGTCCTTTCATAGCCAGGCTCATCTGCGATCTTCTGAGACTCGGGAACGAGGCGTCTACTTCGCAACTGTGGATTAGGCTGGATTAGGAGAGGGGCCTTCGACTCCGCGCGGTATTTTTACTGCGTCGCGCAGTGAAGGGATGATTCTCGTATGGCCTTTTTCGCTGCTCACCTCGAGATCGCCAGGTACTTGAAGCCGGCTCGGGTGCGACGCGACTGTGACGTGGCTCGTGTTGCTGTACGCGAGGTAGAACGCAGGGGGAGCACCGTAGCAGTAGCCAGTCATCCCGCGGTCCAGCTTCAAGTCGCACGATACGGCCCAAGCCATACGGACCAGCGTCAGAGTCGGGCTATCATACCTGCCCTATACGATATGCAAGGCGAACCCAGACCCCATCCAACACCGGCACGCAGCGGCTCAGATCAGCAGACACCGCAAGGACGACAGGGATAGGGAAACCACCGCGTGACTTCTGGAGGCGGGCAGACGTGACAGAAGTCGGTGCTTTCGACTCGGAGTCCGCTGGCAAATTTTGGGAGGCACGCGGCGGCGCAGCCATCAAACGGAAACCTGGGGGTAGCTAGCGATGTCGACGAGCACGACATGGTAGAAGACTGCCACGACGATTTGGGCGAGTTTCAGAGCAATTCAAGTTTGAAATGCTCTCATTTTCGTTGCAGACTCTGCGCAGCCTGACGCCCTCATACGGTTGCCCGATAGTCCGAGGCCGGGCATTTTGCACGACGCGCCTCAGCCACATCGCGTCGCTCGTCCTCCGCCTGCTTCATATCTTCAACGGCTCATTCTGTACTCGCCCTGCGATCGCAGCAGTGCTCCTGCTTCACTATGAGCACCGGGAACAGAAAAACAGAGGTATCAGCAAGTTCTCATTGGCCCTCAAAGTTCGACGACTTCGGGAAATATTAAGCGCCCGACGATGCTGCGACGCGCTCGAGCTCAGACTCAAGCTCAAGTCTGGAGGATACCTACACCCTGCCTACTCTCTGGATGGTGCTCAGAAGAGTATAGGCAACATTTTATATGGCGAGGTATTCATATGCGCTAGTACTGTGTCTGCACTTCCCAGGCTACGGGTACGGCTCTTTCAGAACGGCCCACGTTCATCAGACCCGGACACTGATTGCAGGTGAAGTAACTGGTCTGTGACTGGCCACACCGAGGTGTCGAGGGTACGAGAAGCTCAATGGGGCTTTCGTATTTATTCGTGGTTGTGACAGGTGAGTGATAGTCTGCCGTCTCGGAGTCACAGTATGCTGCAGGCCTTCGTGTACATCAACAAAACCGAAATATGTATATTGCGTCTTGAACCGCACATCTACCTATGTGTACATCACCCCACCACCGCCAGACATACCATGCACACCGGACGCCTACGACGACACTGGCCTCAGAAAGTCTTACAGTATTTCGCTGGGCCCACAGAATGCTCACTGCGGTATCAGTATCAAGTGTCTTACCATCCTATGATGATCTGCATACCTGTCCAACGCCCGACATACTTGTACCAAAACAGCCATGCACCATAATTGTGTCCTCCGAGCTCGAGCGCGTCGCAGCATCGTCGGGCGCTTAATATTTCCCGAAGTCGTCGAACTTTGAGGGCCAATGAGAACTTGCTGATACCTCTGTTTTTCTGTTCCCGGCGCTCATAGTGAAGCAGGAGCACTGCTGCGATCGCAGGGCGAGTACAGAATGAGCCGTTGAAGATATGAAGCAGGCGGAGGACGAGCGACGCGATGTGGCTGAGGCGCGTCGTGCAAAATGCCCGGCCTCGGACTATCGGGCAACCGTACACTCAGTACTGGCAAGAGACCTACTTATCAGGACGTGTCAAACTGCCATCGCAATCCAAGAAACTCAAATTACGGCAGCTAGGGGCATGCGCCCTCGTACTATGTTTCTACAAGAAGCATGGAGCAAGTCAGTGCAGCTGGTCGCTGATACGGTCCCAGTTGATGCAGGCGAGCCGTTCGTCGCTGTCAACATCCCTTCCTATTCAAACATCCTTGTGGATGGCCTGCGATATGGCGCATACGATACACGTCGAGGGCGTAACTCGTGTTACGCTTATGTACATCGACGGTCGCGTTCCTGCGCGGATTACTCGCATTTTCCATGTCAGACGCTCCCGGCGCAATCGTAACCTTGCAGCCTTGGAGTGTACGCACGCGGTTGCGCAGGGATTTGTTTGCGAAGAGAACCGGATATGCCATGGACTACACGGCATGCGCGCGCTTCAAGCCCTCTTGTTGCAGAGTCCTCGGAGTGATCTGATATTTTGGACATCGAAACAGAGCGACTGACATAGGCATAGGGGCATGGCGAGCAGAGTCGCGTGCCGCACCTGAGGTTGTCGAAATGAACCGATTCTCTGGTCATTTCTCTCTCGCAGTGGCACCTCGCCGCGAGCAAGAAATCTGGGCGACAATGTCCCTATGCCACATGCGACATACTGCTACTCAGCTCCTCGATCTACGCACATGCGCAGGACGCTCAAGAACCAGACATCCTCGACGACGCCGAGGAGCCCGGCGATGCTCCGAATGGTCCCCAGCCAGTGATCGCAGGCCAACAACATGCCTACACGATCATACTCCCAAGTTTGCGAGTCCGTGTTGCGACAACCACATCCTCTCGCGTCCAACGGCGAGCCGGCTGCGAAGCTGAGTTGCGGCGGAAAGGTTCGCCAAGGGCGGCCGCGCCAACCTCCTGCAGCTGGCTGAAAGTCTTCCATGTTCGTCTAGGAAATCAGACGCGGCGTAATACCGTACAAGGTGACATGCGAGCCGCGATATTGCGAAGGTCGCGACTACAGGAAGTCAAAGCTGTCGAGGCAAGCTGCCTCGGTATCAGGCCATGCGCGCAGTATTGGCAGCCTCGCGCACGCAGGCTCCGCTACTACCAGGCTCGCAAGCTTCTCGCTCATGCGCGAGCGACCACTGGGCCAGTTCGGCGCGTCTGATGTGCTGTACGCTTTAAAAAACGAGCGTTGTTCATTGCGCTGAAGCGAGCGAGACACGGGGACGGCGCTTTCGCATGACAGCTAGAAACCCCGGCAAGAACACCCGCCCAAAGCAGAGTCCGACGACACCAAAACCAAGCACAGGGGGGCAGTCGAGCGACGAGCCGTTGGAGGTTGCTGCGCCCCAGATCACGCGCGTGGCCTCAGGCGTCCAACGAGAAAACAGCAATAATCGGAGACTACTACTTTTTGCGGAGAGTCCCCCGGCGTTTTCGGCCAAGAGGACGGTGGGCGTTGCCTTAGGCCACAGCTCCACCTGGGGAACCGCCAGCCAGCGCGTCCTTGGAACGCAGCCGACCCCCCGTGGGTTTGGCCAAGACGAGTCTGCCTAACATGGAGACGCCAAGCCTTAGTCAGCCCGCTTCGGCGGAGGTGCAAAGCCGTTCCCACACGTGACATCATCGCCCGGATCACAGATATTTAGAAGTTGCGTCGCAGATAAGTCAGAGGGTAGCCTAGATCCCGTAGGACCGCAAAAGCTCCTGGCGCAGGGTTCGAACCCCGGCCTCCATGCACCCCGTAGGGCGTTCAACCAACTGCACCACGACGCGCTTGGTATTCCGTCAGCTAAATTATTGATGTGACTAATACATGGGCAGACGCTCTGGCGGCGGCGTCCTTCCTTCGCTCTGAGACGAGGTTCTTCGCCCTTGCTGATCGACTCCAACTGGAATCTCCTGCTCGCCCACGGACAAAACGTTCCCAGACTCCGGGCTACCAGTGGCCGCTGTCGTTGGTTGGTTGGTAATCCCGTTTATTGTCGTTTGAGGGCGAAGCCCTGCGTAGACTCCGACTACATGCTCGCGCTACGCTACTTGGGTTGGACGCGAGGGCGTGTAGCTAATCATTGGCTCGTCTGTCGCGGGAGGTTTGCGTCGTAGAGGCGACAAACTCAAAGACTGGCCGACGCCGGCATTTCCGTTCCGACGGCGTAGAAAGCAAACCAGTTGAAGGTCGGATCTCGTGGCGGGAGGCGCGCCCCCACCGACGCTGCGCCGGCAGCGCCAACGCGTTGGTGTTGCCGTCCTACGCCAGCGACGTGAAAATACTTCGGGTTTCGGCCTGCTACGTCCAGTTTTATACGTCCTGGGCACGCTCTCCGAAATTTTAAGGCTAAACGGAGGACGGGACAAATGGGGACGTCGGGGACAAACGCATGCGTTCGCCTGCGAACGAGCGACTGCTTTCGCCCGCCCAAACTGGCGCCGCAGAATAGGGGCTCAAAAGGCGCCAGAAGGAGCAGAGAGCAGGTGGCTCTTAGATCTACTGAGCGTCTGAGAGCATAGCAAGGCGGCGTGTAGCGGTACCGCGCAGATTTTTCTGCGCAGCGATCCTACTTGCAACAAGAAACTCGGACGTTTGCATTCCTGTGCCAAATTGCCTGGCCGATTCAGCCTGGGCGAGGTCGAAATAGGGCGAGATTCAAGCGGGGGCCCGGCGAAGACCCTCTCTGATTGAGGCCTGGCGCCACGAAGTATGAAGACCCTGGCCGGACAGAACTTACTTCGGTTTGAGGACAACAAATCCCGTCTTTGAGCGTCGTTCAACTTCGTTTGGCGGTTTCAACTTCGCCCAACGGTGGCGCGCGGTTCCCCGGGTCCTGGCCGAGCTCGGCCCGACATGTTCTAACGCCCGGCTTAACGCGCCTTTCCCAGCTCAGCTTGGACGAATAAGGGATGTGACTCGGTAGATACACTCTGGAGATAGATTGATGGCAGAGCGGGAAAGAATAAATTGTGGGGAAGCAGTATTGCAGCCGGGAGTTGAGTAGTTATCTGCGATGGTCACGCCACCGTGCCGGCGCTTGTTCTGCGACCGGACGCGGCCTCGTACTGTATCGCGACCTACATCCGGTTACACCTAGTAGGACAGACGGGGCCTCTTCTGTGTAACTGGTGAGTAGAGCGATGGTACTCCTGGTTTCCTTTTGACTGACTGTGTCTCTACAAATGTGAAGTACCAAATTAAATACCAGACTGCTCATCTGTAGTCGGGGGACAAGTATCATTCAACGCAGCAAGTACTTGATCTCCGCTTCTTGAGGCTGCGATGAACCATTCAGTATTCAACCCTTGTATGCAGCGATCCGATATAGCCATTACATCGGCGAGTCCATCTGGCTGACCACGAGAAGTTAGTATGCTCGGAAGTCTATTCAGGCGCGAACCCGGCGTTTTCGAGGCGGTCGCTTGCAAGGGTGCGCCCATCAAGAGTACCCCCGTGCTTGGCCGTATCATCAGTCATCGGCGAGCCCATTGGTGAGCGAGGTCTCATTAATGGCGTCAAGTTGTCTCCCATTCGCGCTGACTTCCGCCGTTCGTGGATCAGTATGCGGTGGGTGGCGCGCACCGCAATATGGTCCGTAGTGCTATGCAATATAGTCAAAATATATAGTCAAAAGACGGCGCATCAAACTTTCTCAGCGCCCTCGATGCGTTTGCATGAAAGGACTCGGGGCGAACAGGAGCTGAGAAGGCGAAGGGACCTGCAGGGTTCGAGAGTTCGCGAATCACTGGCGAGCGTTCTCGACTCGGACCCTCTTGCTCAACACATTTTTACACAGAACAATATGCGCCCGGGCCCCACATCATTGCGCGAGAATGCAGGCGCCGCAGTGCGCATGTGCCACTAGGCCATGTGGGGGCATAACAGCGACTCGGATATATTGGCGCACCTGTATGCCTGTCAGTTATAATGGCAAGCCGTCATTAAGGATCGCGTGCGGGGCAGAAGAAGGAGCGCATGGAAGGTCGACGAGGATTGGTTGCGAATGTTGAGGCGAGAGCGCAGCGGAGAGAGAAGCGGCGAACACGTCGAGTGATCAATTCGGCGCAGGCGTCAGACTCCGAGGCGAGCGAGAAGCGAATATTAACAACACCGGGATTGCGACATTTGTCTGCCACTCGCCTCTGGTACCAGTCACCGGGTAAGTTGCATACACAAATAGCTCCCACCTTGCAGCTGTCACGCAGGCTCGCGCTGAGTCTACGATCATTCTTCTGTCATATTAACTCAGCAGCCTCAGGCTACTAGCATGTCGTCACGTTCTCATGTACTTTAAGCTCAAGCTCAAGGGTACAGGCCTCTGTCGGCATCAAACGTATATCCTTTTCGCTCTCTTCTTCTCTCTGCCAGTGGATGATCTTTCCAGACTCAAAATTCAGCGCGTATGCAGCAACAACCAGAGGGTACCACTGGTCACACTCTACATGGAGACTCAACGACGAATGAATTCTTTCGGAGTCGAAGTACTATTGGTACTAGTACAGGCTGTACTATAACTAACTAGAAGTACACCTCTCGAACGCCCCCGAGCTCCCTACACATGTAAGCCTGACAGCGAGGAGTGGCCGCTCGCAAACCCATATATGGGGCGGTTATGTAAGCATTCGGCGGTCTCGGGCATGTGGCCTGCCGAAGTTGAAACCGTTAAGCGAAGTTGAAACCGTTAAGCGAAGTTGAAACCTCGTTCATTGTACGAAACTCTGATATTTTTGTCCGGCGGCTCCCTTCGTAGGACCTCAGCCATCGAAGAAGCACCACGAGAAGATGCGCCGCGAGGAGCGCGAACGCCTCCGCGCTGAGGGCTGTTGCTTCACTGCAACTGTAAAGAGATAGGTCATTTGGGACGAAACTGTCCTGTACATGAGGAAGTGAACACACCGCCCGCGCAAGCCAGCTCGGCACAGTTTTTGACGCTGATAACCTCGCATCTGACTTCGATTTTGGAGATGTCTACGGTTACCCACTAGTCACTAGTCGGGGGTTGGCGCGTTGACGCTTGTCGAGCCACATGCTCGCACCACCCTGCACGACGCGTCTTTCGTTCCATCGTGCCCTGGCTAGCTCATGAAATACTCATTTTCTGTGCTCGACAACCACATTTTCTGGCTCTACGCGTCAAATCTACCCGGTAGAGGTGTCAGCTAGGCGATAGCGACACTGTAAATGGGCAAAGGAGCTCGTCGTGGCAGGGACCAGGTAAGCGCCCGTTTGCACGTAGTAGCAGCGACTCGATAATGGCATCGGGAGAACGCAACTTTCACTGTTTGATGGGCCTAGGAGAGGGTTGCCGATAAGCATAGAACGTCTCACGGCCGTAGATGGACCCGGCGCATGACTCGGCGTATCCTTCGTTTATCATCATGGTCGGAGGCGCCCACGAGCGTCGACGGTCCATCAGTATCTAAATGCCCATAAATGCGAGATGACCGCTCGCGCAGGCAACCGCAACGGGCTGAATGAGCGCCGAGACCAAGTCCATCATGACGATGAATCGCATCGAGAAACAGCAGAAGCCACACATCTGCTCCAAGAGAACAAGCTCCCCAAGATTGTGTGCCGCCGAGTTGATCCAAAGCCAACGCTGCGACAGCAGAATCTTCCAGTCGTCTGGCGCGACTGTGGAACACGCGCGCGTCCCGGATGAAGAGCGTCTTGTACACCGGGAAGTGTTTCGTAACCAGCGTCGTGAGGAATCGATCTTCTCCGAGGTGCAGCAGGTTCTTCATGCGCAGCGTGTCGACTTTGGGGGCAGTTGTCGATGATCTGGTTGGAGATGAACAGTGGCTTGTGTGCGTCGGGGGTACGCGGACGGTGATGCCTGAAACAACCGGGCAAACGAGAGACGGACCCGAAGAGGGGCTCGAATGCCTTCGCCATGTGATGCCAGATGAAGTACTCGTAGACCTGCGCAAAGTCTGAGCGATCGCGCGAAACAACTTCAAATGCTATCACACACCTCCGTCATAATAGTCGCGATGGACTGTTTGGCAATTCGACAGCTCAGTCTCTCCGCAAACACCAATCACCTTCTTGTCATGCGCCCATACTATGGAAAGATCAACGAACAGTTCGTGGCGGTCACTCAGGTAGACTGGACTTACGCGGAGATCAGCCTGTTGAGCAACAACAGGTCACCCGCAGTATCGGCATTGGTCATGAAGACGCTTTCGTAGAACGATGGGTTTATACCGATGACATTCTTGATTTGGTGATACATCTCGAACTCCAGTGGGTTCGTCGGAGCGTTGAAATGGACCTGTACGAGAAAGCATCAGCCTCGTTCAATGAGAAGCGCATGAGCAACATCTGTGCCACGCTTACCACGGTCACCAGGCCTCGCCTTCTAACCGGGCGTGCTGCACTTGACCACGACCAAGTAGGGAACGGCGTGGCCGGCTGCCTCAGAGTCCGGACTCGGAGTACGCCTTACCCATATTGTGGTGTTTCGCGCCCTCACCAAGACACAAGAAGCTGAGCAGTTCGGCGTCGATGTTCGGAGGCGCACCGAGGACGCCCAAGACGATGCGAGGGGTTGGCTGGTCGTTATCGGAACCAGCGACCTGACCATCGCAAACGATCAGGAGGAGCTTGCGCTTGTCGTCGTACTTCAGCGTTGCGAGGGAGGTGATTGTCCGCTGGAGTGACTCGAAGCCTTCCGCGCAGGGACCTGGCAGATGACGAATTTGTCATGGTCTTCAGGTGCGCGCTCCGAGCCGAAGTTGATCGAAGCGATGAATCCAATGGCAAACGCAAGCAGGATGAACAAAGCGAATTGGCACTTCAGCGAATTCCGCGCTTCGACCCTGCCGATCGCGAATAGGTTGCGAAGGCGCGTCTTTTGCCGCGTCAGGACCTGAGAGTCCAGACCGAGGCTGCTGATCCTCCTCGTCGCGTCTTGCCCGGAGTTATACTGAGAACGCTAACGATGTCTGGTCTCATGAATTGCGCGTTGACATTGGTACCAAACGGGAGCACCCCGTTGTTGAGCGGAGCGATTGACGGTGGGGGAGGCGATGTAGTTGATGAGACCGTATGTGATACCGTCGTAAACGCCAGCAGCGCTCCCCTTGTTCGCCATGTTGTGGAGATCAGGCATCGTATAGCCCATCCAACCGAGCGGTTGTTCCAGCGCATCTGCTCGAAGTACCAGTCAGGTCGAGAATCATCAGTCCATGCGCGAGAGTCATGGTATTGCGAGTTGATGCCCGTATTGTTGACGGAACTGAGTTGGATGCAGGGGCTCGCGGAACCACTGACACCATTGCAAAGCGCGCTAGCCTATACCGACCGCGTGAGTGAGACTGTTATATAGCAGTACTGTCGTCTTAAACTCACTAGGAGTGGGAAGAGATCATCCGAGGGCGCACTCGGGCACGACGACAGTCAGATGCGCCGCAGCAGCTTCTGTGAGATCGAAGACCTCGCCGCGAATCGAGATCTATATGTTGTTCGGGCTGTTCTTGTAGGAATGCGCATGCAACTCGCTCGTTGAGAACACATGCGCCGTTGGACAAATGAGACCACCGAAGATGGCGATGGCGAAGACGACGCAGCCGCAGACGAACCAGATGGGCATATTGAGCGCCAGCTTCTCTCGCCACGCTTGCTGGATGTGAGGACGCTTCAGCGGAGCAGGTACCCAGAACGTGAGGATCCAGCATATCAGCACCCACCGCCGGCGCAATGTCCTCTCCTTGAGAACCTCCGCCACCTTGCCTTCCTGGATTTCTCCAGCGAGAGGCTCCTTACCGGAGAGGAGGCCCTTCAAGTTGTCTGCGCCCTGGAACATGTTCTTGACTGAGTGGCCCTCGAGCTGGTTTGGGAGCTGGGAGTCCTTGGGATTGGCGCAGAAAACGCGAACCGGAACTCGCGCGCCACATGCGGTGGCCCGCTGGCTTGTACCGCCGCCCCTAGCGGCCCCCCACCATCGCAATACTTCTCGTCGAATCCGCCGCCTTCCCCAGCGCTTGGCGGTACCCTTCCTGTGGACGGACGGTGCGCGCATGGGCTTTGCAGGCTGTTGCGCAGACATGATGGTGTCCTCATCGCGGGGGTGCGCCTGCGTCGCGATCGCCTTGCCGGCGTGCTGGCTGTGTAAGGAGGGGGTTCGGCGATCCGGAACCGCCCGCTGGGGGGACCTTCTCCCGCGCTCGCGCCTCGGGTCCACGACGACGCGAGAGTGCGCGCTGGAGATGCCGGCGGGGAGGGGGAGGAGCGAGACGAAGTCAGTGTTCAGTGGCTCAAGATTGCGCTCCAGGAAGTTCTCCGACGAATAGGTGGCGGGGCCAGTGAAGCCGTTGACCGTGAGCGCTGGGCAGCCCATACAGTCGATGGAGGCGGCCTTGAACGAAGAGCGTAGGTCGAGTAGACCAATGAAGGCGTGGAAGTCGTCGCGGCAGAGGCGCTGGTTGATGCGCTCGTTTAGCCGCTCGAAGAGTAAGGCGTGCAGCGACTCGCTGCCTTGAGCGCCTCAGCCCCATTGCCTACCGCGGCGCAGAAGGTCTCCACGCCGTTCGCCTCGATCGTGACGCCAGGATCCGCAAACGCGGCACAAAGGTTAATGTCGGGGAGCACCTCGTTGTCGCCAAACCTCAGCCTCCAGTAGAAGTCCTTGATACGCGCGTTGCGGCCCTCGACAACCTCGTGGATGGGGGCGAAGCCCATGCTCGGCTTGTAGAGGAACTTAAAGTGAAGAGGCGCGGGGGCGCCGCGACGGTCCTCGAGTAGCATGACGCCGATCGTTTGAGACGCCGGATGATACTTGACCTCGGCGGCCTTGAGGCCTGACTTGTGCTGGCCATATGAGCGGGCCGCACCGTAGAGAGCAGCAGAGACAGGCGCCTCGCCACCCAAAGTCAGGATGTCCTTCTAGCTCGGACGAGGAGCGACGAGGAGCGAAGAGACGGCGCATCGCATTGTCGATGCACGACGCACCCTGCACGATGGTCGCCGACGCAAGGAGGGCCCTGAGCCAATGTTGACGAGGGCCTGCGAGCATCTCGATCCAAGTCGATGCCTCGGGCAAGGTGCTCCTAGCAGAGTAGGTGATCTTGTCAGCCTCGATAGAGCGCTCGACACCGAGTGAGCCAGTGATGCTCTCCGGGAGAGGAGAAGCTCTTATACTAAGATAGTCGGCAGTCGGAATGCGACTGAAGTCGCCGCCGTAGAGGCGCTGCGCCAACTTGTTGATGAGGACCGCGGTGATGTTGTCGAGCATCTCCTTGATCGGCTCGTCTTTCTTCGTAGCATGCTTCGCCGCGACAGGGCCCTGGAGGATGCACGCGCGCTGGGGGGTCCTGGTCGAAGACGGCCTCAATGTCCTCGGCTGCCCACAGAGTCCTGCCCAAATGTGAGTCCTAGTTCCCTGTTGGGCAATTATAACGTACCTTCTTGAACCACACCTCAAAGTTTGCGCCAATGACGGGGATGAACGGCGCCGTCTTCTGGCTTGGGCGCTGCAAAATGGCGAGGAAGAATGCCTTGTCCTCCGACGCCAGGAGCTGCTCGGTCGCAGCCGGGTGCGTCGCGAACAAGAGCTTCACAAAGTCAATGGACTTGTCCAAAGAAGAGTAGGATTATAGGATTGGCGCCTTCGAGCCTCGGTCGATGCCCGCGAAGCGCTCTTCAACGCGGCGGAGCCAGTCACCCGCCAGGTTCCTGAGCGACAAGTCCACCCAACGCTCCTCGTGCTCGGCGTACATGAGACGGACCATGCGGAGGACGACCTCCTCGTAGGTCAAGCCGGTGATGCCCTCGACGACGCTGCTGTCCTTCCACCTGAACCGCGGCTTCGCGAAGTCCTCGTTCAGCTTCGCGATGATCTCCGCGCGTCTCCCGTTGATCCACGCAGTGCGCTTCTCCTTGGGTAGCTTGAACACGGTCTCGTCGGACTCCTTCCTCAGCTCGGCGGCACGTGTGACGACCTTGCGGATGGCTCGCCGAGTTCGGACTTGGCGGCCACAATACCGCCGGTCTCTTTAGCATAGGTGCCTTCCCAATGAGCATCATCGACACCCTTCGCGGCGGCGATAAGATCCTTCACCGAAGAGCTCGTATGCGCCTCCCCGGTGACCATGACACGAGACGTGAGCAGGAAGCCGCCGAGCGGCTTCGGCTGTATCCGAACATCTCGGCGGACCAGTCGCCAGTAAGGTACAGCCAGGCATCGTCCGCACCACCGAAACCAGAGCCGGCGACGAGCGAGATGTTGCCGTGCTGGCGGATCGAATGGTGCGTAGGCAGAATTGGCTGGTGGAAGTCCTCGTACGGCCGCCCACCGGCTGCAGGATGGTGGGGAAGTCTGGATTCGCCGCGGCGATGCTGACGACCTGGCGGATGCAAGCCGGCGGATCCGGGCTTGAATGACACGCGACGAATGCCCGCCGCCTTGAGATCACCGATGGTGCCCACTGCCTTCTCCGCGCTGGGGATACCAGCGGCGGCACAGAAGCCTTCGATGGGCATGCCCTCGCGGCGCATCTCTTGCCATAGAGGGAACTGGAAGCCGAACTGGCGCGGGTTGATGCCGAGCAAGTTGAGGGTGATACCGGCACCAGCAGAGATCTTGCTCTGTATTTCGGCGACCTTCGCGCCGCGGCAGCATTGTAGTGACCGCCGCCAGCAAGCTCGACGCGGTATCCGGCCGCCAGGACGACGTTGGCGAAACCAGCCTTGACGGCCGTGGGTGCCGCACCAGCCACCATGCTAGGCGGCTCGCCCAGAAGGCGGGAAAACGGCGTGTCGAGGTGGATTTTGCCCTCGCTATAGAAAGTTTAGCAATGCGCAATTAGCGAATGCTGCAGCAAACGTACCTCGTCTTGACGAGACTGGGCATGAACTTCTTGCTCCACCATTCCTCCCTCTTCACCGCCTGCGCATCGTACAACTCGGCCAGCAGAGACACCGCGGTACTGGACGCGCGCCAGCAGCTCGGTGAGGATGGCAAGTTCCAGCACGAGCGGCATAGCGAGCAGGGTCCTGCGGCGAGTCAGCAATGCATCTGGCTTTTACAGTCCATGCAACACACCTCGTACTCGTGAAGATGTTGATGGTTGAGCGGCCACTGCAGAAAACCTCCGAGTAGTACTCATCGACGGCACACTTCGAGTCGCCGACAACAGGGTAATACTTACTTGATGACGACGATACTTATGGAGTGCTTGCTCTCGGCAGCCTTCGTGCCCTTGACCGTGCCTACCTCGGGGCGCTTGGAGAGCAGGTGGTTCGCGCCGACCAAGTCGTCGACGACGCTGCTCTTGCTGATCTTGAACTGAGGCTCTGCGGAGATGTGATGGCCGTCGTTGTCGCTGAGGTGGCTGTAGGGCGCGATCGAGAGATACTTGATGCCCGCGTTGACGAGGAACTCGGCAAAGACGGACTTGAGCTTCGTCTGGCCCAACTTGAGGTCACCGCCGCCGAGGGACGCCTTGTGGCGCTCCGCGAGCTCGATGACTCCGCCTGGGACGGTCGGGTTCTAGGGCTCGCCCTCGAGGACGGACGCCGCGGCGAAGAGCATCGACAGGGCCGCGAGGAGCGCGTCAGCGGCGTCGTTCGCGCCGGGGATGATGCCGCTGTAGCGCTCCGTGTTGGCGGTCCAGAAGACAACGGTGCGATCGAGCCCGTGCTCAGCCTTGAGGTTTGAAGCGGCAGATGCCCGCGCGGAGCTGCTCGAGGTGGGCCTGCTTGTCCGCGGCGGGGACGATGTTGTCATGGGCCTCCTGGTTCGCGGTGATGAAGCCGGGGTAGCAGATCGAGGGGCGCGGCTTGCCGAGTGCGGCCATGCGTGATATGACCTGGCACTGACCAGTCAAGCATCTAGCAGGGTGCACAACTTGAATGAATGCCTCGTTTGTTGACACGCCTGTTGTCGCAGGCACTGGCAATGCCTGAGGCGGCGAGAAGGACTGTTCAACGGTGAGGGCGTACCTATGTCCTACGAGCTCTCTCGCTCGTTCTTCTTCATGTTCCTGCACCGTTCCTCCCCTTTCTCCTTCTCCTTTGTGTTCTCTTTGCCATCCTCCTCGCGTTGCCGCATTCGTCTCGATCTGGGCGGTCTTGACGCAGGGCAGCAGGAGGAGGGGGATGAACGCAACCCAGCACCGCACAAGCATCTTCCGACTCCTTTTCGAGCGTATGTTCGACGACATCCGTGGCGGCACGTTCCAGCTCTTGCGAGTCGAGTCCAGGGGAGGCTCTCCGCGCTTTTCGTCGACCATGGCTGAGGAAGCGAGGAGATGAATGGCGCCCGTTCTGGTCGAAATGGCTGGAGAGCAGAATACGCGCATCGGGGGACCAAACACGCCACACGACTTGAGTCATTTCCGCTGACGTCGCACGAGAGATCGAAGAACTTGGTAGTGTTCTCGTCCATCCGATTAGCGTCGATGTCCTCTTGCTTCTTGACCAGCTCCTCGCTCGCGGCCCGGGCACTGTTCCACTCCGTCTCAGGCTTCTATGGCGGCGCCTCGCCGACTAGCTGTTCGGTACTAGCGGACGCCTCATGGCTTTGAACCTGTCACGGCTGATGTCGCTGCAGCGGTGCTGGCGTTGGCGGTTTCTGCGGGGCGGGCGAAGACTCTGGTACGACGACTGGCTGAGCAGCCAGCGTAGACGGCGAAGTAGCGGTCAATGTAGACGACTCGCCGAGAGCAGGCACTGGCGCTGGCGCCCGTGTTTCGATGTACTAGGCTTCGAACACTTAGTGCTGGCTTTGGACGCCTTCTTTGGAGGAGGGTGGCTGGACGACTTTGGAGTCTGGTGAATTCGCAACGTGCGCAGGCGTAGGTGGATTGGTGAGTGTTGCGGCGGAGGCGGGAGTGGAAGGCCCTGCAACGGGTGACGGAGCAAAAGGCTGGCCTGGTCGTTTCGGCTGGAGTGGCAGAGGGATGGTCCGAGGCGTGCTTCAACGCGTGTCGTGGAGTGTCGTGGAGGATGATTGCCTGAATCAGGGTGGACGGGCCGAACAGACTGAGCGCGTGGAGCGCGCTTCCTGGAGATCGCGCGGAACGCCATTCACAACGACTTTGACAGGTTGATGTACTTGGGAGATCGACATCCGGTACTGCTGCCGCCGTGGGAGCTCCTGAAACTCGTACCTATGATACTTGGTCGCCCAGCTGCGCTATGGACCACGCATGGAAAGGACGCGTGCCAAGGTCAGCGCGGCTGACCAGTCGTTGATGTAATGTTTCGTTTCCGGGAGCGACCTTTGCTGTAGACGCGTCAAGAGCTATGTCGGGAGACGGGTCAGCTAGGGATTCACTGCTTCAACGACATACGCACAGAGTTCGTCATGATCTGCAAAGCCTCTTTGCTGACTCCATGTATGCGCACGGGCAGCTGGTACGGCGAACCGACACAAATATATTGACTTCCGTACGAGCAAAGCATGCACGGATCATGCATCCATGGCACGATCCATACACGCAGAGCCAAGAGGGGTGTGTTGGAGTAGAGCAGCGATATTCGTACGAGAGAAGCGTGCACGGATCATGCATCCATGGCACGATCCATACACGCGGGCCAGGTCAGAGACTCAGAGAGTGAGAACAAGCCTATTAGTCTACTTCTTGACGCGCTCGTCGAGAGGTCGGTTTATTCAATCGCAGTCTGAACGTATGCCGTGGATTGCAGGCGGAGCCACTTGGGGTTAATATCCCAGCGGGTTTGCAGGGCATTTCAAACCCCGCTGTGGCGGCTGTGGCGCGATCGTCCCGAACGTCTCTAAGTCGCGTCGCGCCCCGTTACAACGCGAATAGTAGATTGCGTTTATACGGATACTTATGTACATTACAACTGTTTTGTACCGACTCATTACTATGCAATATACTGATTACTAGAGTCACGCCACAGTTAAGGACTCCGAGTAGTAAGGACGAGTAAGTAGGAAGATAAGCATAACATACTAACAAACAAGCTAGTACGACTTTCAATTCAGCGCCGTGCGATATACTTGTAACCTATAACGTTTGAAGGAGCCGCCTGCCCCCGTTCGCGGGTATTCGTGATGGGCATGGTTCGTCTGCGCTCATGCTTCTCGATGTCTCGGGCCCAACGCACGGCTGGGCGGGTCGCGCGAAGGGCGTTTTGGACGAAGCGGCCCTCTGCACCGGCGTCGCGTTGTTCTTCAATGATATCAGCGGCGCGGTGTAACAGGCGGAGATGTTCGTCCACGTCCACGTCGTCTTCGTCATCAAGCTGACACGGACGTTGTCGATCGTGTTAGTGTTGGCGCACCATTGCAATTGGGTGGCATTGCTTACTGTAAAGCCCGCACTTCCACCCACCCGCGCGCGCAACAACCCGTCACGTCCGGTAGGCGGTGGTTTGTTAGGTGACGAATCTATCTGTAGGTGTGCCCGGCAATGAATACGAGTCATGTAATCCCGAAGTGCACATTGATACTCACCGGTGATGACCTACTAGTGACTGCCAAGGCGGGCAGCACTGAATCTTCCTCTCCCGATTCCTCTGAAGTATCCGCCACCGGCACCTGCGCCTGAGATGCGCGGGACATATTCACCGAACCGGGAGGCGCCGCCGCACGCTTGCCATGACCACTGCCAGTGACAATCGCCGAGTCCGAGTCATCCGAGTCCGACGTACTGGTATCCACCCTGGGCATTCGACTGAGCCATGCGTGCTTCGTCGTCAGTTCTGGGGGTGGCGCGATCTTGCCGTCGATGGGGACTGTGTAGAAGGGTGGAATATGAAACCGCTGTACCTGCACCCACCATAAGGCAGGTGGGTTTCCCGCGGCCCGAACAAGGTGCTTGCAGAGAAGGTAGGCATGGTACTTCTGAGCGCCGCAGTCGCATGTCCAGCGGTGGACATCCGTCGTGTACGTGCCTTTGATCGGGACCTTCATGAGTCGCTCCCACGAGTGCTTGAAGTGCTCTTGCATGGTCGTGAGTGCCTGTGCGCGGCCTTCGCGGTCGCTTCGCAGGAGACGTCGGAGAGTGAGACGGTAGGGTGGAAGCGCCTTCGTGATGATCGCGTGAACAGCGAGGTCAACGGGCGGGCGGTTGTACATGTGAAGTACGAGCCGTTTCAAGTTTCGCCAGAGAGCCTCGACCATCATGGTCGTACGCTTGCAAGGAATGCTCGCGGAGTACGCACCGCGTGCCCACAGTGGCCATCGCTTCCGTGAATACCACGAATTCCACAGGTAAGCCCACACCTCGCAGAGATGATTGACTTCGCAATGCCGGTACATCTCCTCGACGGCATCACGGCGGATATCATCCTTTGTTCGCTTCTCGCCATGCCGCTCGGGAAGGAGTGAGTGCTGCGATGCATGCTTCGCAAAGAGCCGCAGGATTGAACTTGGGGTTAATATCCTAACGGGGCGCGACGCGACTTAGAGACGTTCGGGGCGATCGCGCCACAGCCGCCACAGCGGGGCTTGAAATGCCCTGCAAACCCGCTGGGATATTAACCCCAAGTGGCGGAGCCTAAAGAACTCGAAATGCCGCCACAGGTGGCGGCGAATCCCTTGCTCGCGCGTTTGCGTTCAGCGATGTCGATGTCGGGCAGCGCGTGTGTCCAGGACACTGGACCGAAGAGACAAAAAGAAGAGCAGCTGTTGAATCGCAGGTGAAGAATGTACATGGTATATAAGATACAGGGCATGGGAGTCGTAGAACTTGAAAGCTGGCAGGTTGTTGTACAACGCAGAAAAGAGAGTGTACGCCTGAAAGCGTGAGCCTGAGGATGGTCAACACATCGCCCTTACTATTTCCTTCCTTTGCTACCATCGAGCGGGACGTCAGCAGCGCACTTCCGACGACGGCGAACGTTTGAACCTGCGGCATGAACGTTGAGAGTGGGCTCCTTAACGACTTTGATCATCCAGATACCACTCGTCCTTCTTCATTGAATCCCTTGCTCGCTAGAGCAAGGCTCTCTCGTCTGTAATTGTGGAGCTGTCGCCGGACGGCTGAACACTTGTTTGTCGCTGCTGTTAATGTCACGTGTACATGAGCAGCGGCACATCGACGCCGCGCACACGCCACAAGCTCAGTCACGTGGAGGACGTGTACTTGAGGCTCCGCCACCAATTCACGCCTTATGTACATTCGGACTGCGATCAAAAACGAGCGTCGCCAACCCGTGGCTTCGCCACGGGTTGACGGGGCAGTTCTTTCATTCACTGCTTCATGTCACCCATAAGATCACAATGTTAATGCATGCCAGACCTGGGCTTCGCCACAGGTCTGGCGGCGGTTCTTTCATTCTGTGCTCCATGTTACTCCTACAATTACATGCTTGAGCCTGCCAGACCTGGGCTTCGCCACAGGTCTGGCAGCAATCTTTCATTCACTGCTTCATGTTACTCTTAAGATTACATGCTTGGGCAATGCCAGCCCATATCTGATTCATTCAATGCTGTGTGTTGCTCTTGTGGTTACATTTTTATTCAATATTTCCCAGCCTGCAGTACACTTTGTTCCACATTTTTGTATTCTTGATGTCCATAATCTGCTGCAGGGCAATTGTTTGATATTACCACTGTTTTCCCATTATTTCCCAGTATTGATGTGTCCTGTTTTCCCAGCACTGAGATTTCCTATTTTCCCGGGATTGATATCTCATTTCCCTGGACCAATTTCTACTGTTTTCCCAACACTGAGGTGTGTTTTCCTGGTACTTACTCCCATTATTGCCAGTGAAATGTGCCTTCCCATTATTTCCCGTTACTGAGGTGTCCTGTTTTCCCAATATTGATCTTTTCTCATATTTAATTTCTACTTCCCAGGAGGAACCTATATACTGTTCTCTCTGTGCTAATCCACACTATTTTCCCTGGGACTGAGATGCCCTGTTCAAGTTTTCCCAGTACTGAGTCCTGACATTGCTCAATTTTCCCGTTACTCATGCTTGCCATTAACATTGATTTTAGGCACACATTTCCCTACTCAATCTTTCCCATTGCATTTCCTTTGTGGTCTTTCAGTGCTAATTTCCCGGCACTGAGATGGCCTATTTCCCAGCACTGAGTTGTGATTTTTCTTCCCATCACTCAGGCTTCCCATTTATAATATATGTGTACACTGTATGTATTTTTTCTACTCATTTTTCCCGTCACGGAAATTCCACCTCGGGGACACCTCGGGCTGGCTCGCGCAGGCGCCCGCTGGCGGAAGACGCCGGGAGCTTATGGGAGGAGGGTGCGCCACATGAGGCCACGCGGCGAACGTGGACGCCATGTGCGCTCCACGCGAGCATACGCGAAAACCACGCGAGTTACGCGCGCCACATCGACACCGCCGTCCCACTCCTTTTAGATACCGACCTCTCGACAAGGGAAGCATCAAGATTCAGAAGTAGACTACAAGCTGCTTGCTACGGCAGACATGGAGACGAAGTACAAGCCCAAGGTTTGTGAAATCTGTTTGCTTACAGAGCGAGGTTGGCTGACGCACTCCGGTTTGTAGGTACTAGTCTCACAGATCTGAAATGCAATCATCATCTCGATTCTCCATGTACCGCGAGCACTTGCTATCTATCGATCATGTGCAAAAGAGGCTGCTCTACCACCAGGTCGACACCGGCAATGGCGGTCATCGCGGTCTCCAGGCCCTGCCTTTCTTCATCTGACAGAGTCACAGTGACAAGAGCCTGGAGGGTGACTCGGAGATCTTCACTCCCGGCAGCGAAGCAGAGCGTCGCATTTCATTCTTCGCGCAGTCGCTGACGGCCGCGGTCCCGGAGCCTATTCCTGTCGATGCGATGCCGACGTTCACAGTCTTGACACCTCATTACCAGAAGGTCAGTGTGCATTTTATAGCGGTATGAAACGTGCCAAATGGTTCTCTAGATCCTTCTCTCGTTGCGTGAGATTATCAGGGAAGAGGACCAAAACACTCGTGTCACGCTACTCGAGTGTTTCAAGCAGCTGCACCCAGTCGAGTGGGACAACTTCGTGAAGGGTACCAAGATTCTCGCCGAGGAGTCGGCAATTCACAACGGCACGAGCCCCTTCGGCAACGACGAGAAGGGTCAGTCCAAGGCTGTCGATCTGCCATTCTACTGCATCGGGTTCAAGAGCGCGGCTCCGGAGTTCACTCTGCGGACGCGTATTTTGGCCTCACTGCGTGCACAGACGCTCTACCGTACCGTCTCCAGCATGACGAACTACGCGAAGGCCATCGAGCTCCTCTACCGTGCTGAGAATCCGGAAGTCGTTCAGCTCTTCGGCGGAAACACGGACAAGCTCGAACGCGAATTGGAGCGTATGGCGCGTCGCAAGTTCAAGTTTGCCGTTTCGATGCAGCAGTACTGAAGTTCAACCAGGAGGAGCAGGAGAACGCCGAGTTCCTCCTTCGTGCATGCCCCGGCCTGCAGATCGTTTATCTCAAGGAAGAGGTGTCGCGCAAGGAGAGCGGCAAGATCCGCCTGTTCTCCGCGCTCTTCGATGGGCACTCCGAGACCATCCCTGAGACTGGCTGTCGTCGTCGGAAGTTCCGCCCTGAGTTCCCCGGTAACCCCATTCTTGGTGACGGAAAGTCCGACAACCAGAACCACGCGATCATCTTCCACCGTGGCGAGTACATCCAGCTCATCGATGCGAAGGACAATCAGTTCGAGGAATGTCTCATGATTCGTAACGTCTTTGGTGATTTCGAGGAGTACTCTGCATCGAGCCGGAGCCTGTACGCGCAATTGAGGCCAGAAGGACTTCGTCCGCAACCCCCTCGCGATTGTCGGTGCGCGAGAGTATATCTTCTCGGAGAACATTGGTATTCTCGGCGGCTTGGCCGATTGAAAATGAACAGACTTGCGGTACTCTCACGGCGTGTTCCCTCGCCTACATTGGCGGCAAATTGCACTATGGTCAGCCTGATTTCCTCAACGCGCTCTACATGACCACGCGCGGTGGTGTCTTGAAGGCTCAGAAGGGTCTGCACCTGAACAAGGATATCTACGCCGGCATAAACACGTTCGGTCGGGAGGGGGAGGGGGTCGCATCAAGGACACCGAGCACTACCAGTGTGGTAAAGGACTTGACCTCGGTTTCAGCACCATTTTCAACTTCGAGACGAAAACCGTTACGGGTATGGGCGAGCAGAAGCTCAGTCGAGAGTGCTACCTCGGAACGCAGCTGCCCATCGACCGTTTCCTGACGTTCTACTACGGCCACCCCGGTTTTCACATCCATGACATGCTGGTCATCTCGTCCGTGCAGATCTTCACGACGAGTAAGCAGACTACCTTCGCCGTGGCGCAAAGCTGACTTTCTTAACAGTGCTTTACCTCGGAATGCCCAAGGGTCAACTGAAGCTTTGCGAATACACACCATCTGGCGCGTTCATCGGCGTGGCAGGCTGCTACAATCTCAGCCCAGTGTTCCAGTGGATCAACAGGCGTATCATCAGTATCTTCTTGGTGTTCCTGATCGCGTACTTGCGTCTGTTCTTGCAAGGTATGATTTTTTCAACACATTGTTGTGTTGTCGATGCTGAGTGCCGCTGGCAGAATTCGTTGAACGTGGTACCTGGAAGGCCGTTATCCGTTTGAGGAAGCACTTTGCATCCCTGTCACCCGCATTTAAAGTCTTCTCAGTCCGGATCTACTCACATTCCATTGCGAGCAACTTGACATTTGGTGGAGCTCGTTATATCGCGACAGGACGTGGGTTCACGACGACAAGAATCTCATTCAGCATCCGATACTCGTGTTTCGCTGGCCCTAGTATCTACCTTGGTATGAGGCAATTGGCGAGGCTGCTCTGCGTCACAATCACGCTGTGGACTGGATGGGTTGTCTATTCTGGGCCACCGTCCTTGCACTTCGCATCTCGCCATTTCTTTTCAACCTGCGCCAGTTCTCCGCGGCGGACTTCATCGTTGACTGCACGTGAGTACTTTCATGCTGCCTTATGTTGCGTCCTGTGCTTACATACCTCCACGGAGTTCTTGCTTTGGATGAACCGGGGCAACTCTCAGGTCCCTCAGAACTCATGGGTCGGCTACTGCCGTCTCTCACGGACGATAATCACTGGTTACAAGAAGAAACACGGCCATCCGTCTGAGAAGCTGTCCGGCGATGTTCCTCGGGCGTGTTGGCAAACTTCCAGATGAAGCTCGGCCTTGGTATAGGGGAACAACAGGCTCGGCCGCGAGTACTACTATCTCGGTACGCAGCTGCGCCTCGACCAGTTCTTGGCATTCTACTACGAACATCCTGGTTTCCACATCAACAATATTCTCTCTATTCTCTCTATTCAGGTGTTCATGGTCACTCGTAAGTGCCAATTATAATGCTGTCCGACGTTCTGCTGACCAGCTGTATAATGTTGTACCTGGGAACCTTGAACAAGGAGCTCGCAATTTGTACCACGGATGTGTCTGGGAAACGATGCCAATGGTTAGGATGGCTGCTACAATATCAGCCTGACTTTGACTGGGTCAAGCGTTGCATCACGCCCATATTCTTGGTGTTCTTTGTAGCATTCCTGCCATTGTTCTTGCAAGGCGTGTTCTCTGTTCTCGTCCGCTATGCTGCTGCGCTCAATGCTCTCCCTAGAACAGCTCGAGCGAGGCACTGGCAAGGCGTTGGTCTGGCCAGCTCCTTTCGTTCTCTCCTATCTTCGAGGTCTTCTCGAAGCGGATCAATTCACAGTCGATCGTAAGCAACTTGATATTTGGCGGCGCTCGCTATAACGCGACTGGACGAGGTTTTGCAACAACCCGTATCTCATTCGCCGTTCTACACTCCCGCTTCGCCGGCCCGAACATTTACATGGGTATGCGCGACGACCTCTTGCTCACGTATGCGACCATGGCCCTTTGGACTCCCTATCTCATCTACTTCTGGTTCTCGGTCATGCCTCTCTGCATTGCGTTCTTCGTCTTCAATCCTCATCAGTTCAACTTCCCGGACTTCAAGCTTCATCATTGACTCTGGCGATCTCCTTCGTTGGATGTCTCGCGATGACTCGCATACGAAGGCGCGCAGCTGGTACTATTACGGCGTACTATGATCACTGGCTACAAGAAGAAACTTGGTCACCTCTCGGAGAAGCTGTCTGGCGATGTTCCCCATGCACGATGGCGGGCAGTACTGCTCTCGGAGATCGTCTGGCCCATCTGCATGGCGGCCCTCTTCATCGTGGCCTACATGTTCGTCAAGTCGTTCCCGACGAAGTGTAAGCAGAATCTACACGCTCTCATTCGTATGGCCGGTGGGCGGGCAGTCCTGTCCAGTGGATGGGTGGGTGGTGGATGGCAAGGGTGGGCTGACCGAGGTGCGAATGCTCGCACGTCTCTCACCCCAGACAACTGCGCACGGGAAGCCCATGTGGCCAAGTTGCGCCGACTCGGAAGTGCGCCACCATTGCCACTTGCACTGGCGAAGTCTGCGACGACCTCTTGTCGACTCGCGGACCCATGACAGATTGCCATCCGGCAAGCCTGTGGTTGCAATGGTCGCCAACGCACGCGGTCGGTCAGCGGAGAAGTCCGTGCACGCGCAGATGAGCCGGCCACGACATGTGTGAGGGCTGTCGTCCAGCGGGGCAGTGCCCTATCGGCAAAGACACAACAGTTTGCTGCCCAGCGAGCGAGACGAGATGGCCAATCGTGGCGTCAGTGGCGAGAGGCACGTGCACCAGGAGTGAAGCTACTTTGTAGTCGGGCAAGTGCCCATCATCATTGAAAAAGTGAAATGTTGCTTACCCTCCTTTGTCACGTTCTCCGTCCAGGTTTGAATGAGCCATTCAAAAGAGAAGCAGGCGCTGGCGACTGGAGTGCGTTGCTCTCCATACATGTCTATTCGGCGGTCGTCCAGATGGGGTACTTCTTCCGGCCGATACGCAAATCTGACTGGCCAGCACGCCCGGTCATTCTCCTCGCGGCGCGCCGAGGTATACCGACAACCGAGCTTCGACAGCTGCCATGTCCTCGCCGCAGCTACATCAATGCTCTCCGTGCGCGTGCACACGCGCTCGGTGGGGGCTGCATGGGGGCGGCTGTCGTCTGGTGTCGTGGCGCTTTGTCCAGCGGAGAGACTACGGACCGCCGTCCAATGAGGAAACGGGCTTGAGGGACGGGTTCAGACGTGCTGCGGCAAAGAGAGGCTGGGCCGGAGCAATCTTGCTTCTTTGACTCGGATGTAATACCGATTCGATACAAAAGAATACAAATACTCGAAACTATGTAACCCCAAGTAGCGTTCACTAGGCCGCTGGCAGCCACGATATATAGCTAGGGGAAACTAGGGCCCGAGCGCCGTCCGCCTCCTTGCGTCGCTTCAGCGTAAGTTACCTTGCGACTGCAAGGAGGAGGCCCGGTCATAATTCGGGCGTGAGAATTTCCGGTTTTGTTGACCTTGTCTGTCCCACTTCCAAAAACGACAAAAACGAGAGTATCTCTTTTTGGTCAGCTACGGAGACTACAAAAACGACAGTGCGCCCGAAGTCATGTACAGCGACCTTCTCCAGTACTTACTGCTGTGGCCTGCCCTTTCTCCATGGCAGCTTTCGCGTCCACAGGACTGAACGTTCCCCGTCATCCTCGTGACCACCCACAAGCCCCTATGTGGCACGAGACGGCCATTGATTCGTACCAACGAACTGACACGACCCCGGCGGCACAACAGCTATTCGCCGTTCCGCTCGGACAACATCGCGGAGCTCGTCCGCGAGACGACTGCTGCGCAGGTAGAGTTGCATGAACGGTACTGCAGCAAGGTGAGGGTTGTGACGGCTTCACAGGGACGCTCAGTACGCCTGCTTATATGTCGCTAGACTCCATTAGAGCGCTGCTAAAGCGCTAAACCCTGACCCCCACAAGCGCAGCCTCTCCGGTTTCTGCAGGTTCTTAACCCCTCGTGCACGGTGGAACACCGCAATCAACGGGACGATCGCCCTCAGCACGCCCGAAGAGCCGGAGCAGCACGCTGTTCGACAGCGATGACAAGGATGTCGCTGAGAGTCCCGGGAAGAGCAGTGGGCAGCACCTCAAGTTCCAGAAGAGAACGAGCATGTGTGGTCACCCCGCAATCTAACGGAGACAAGCCGGCGGCGGTCATGGATGCGATGGCGTATGTAGGTGCACCGAGCCCGCCGCCCGCGCGGTCGACGCCCGAGAACCCAAAGGAGCGGAAGGTCAAAAGCTGCGCGGAGGCGCCGCATGCGGGGCACATGCTCCGGCACGAGCAGGACGAAGGCGCGCGCGAGTCTCTCGAGGCGCAGGTCCCGCAAGAGGTTCACGAGTACGCCGTATCATACATATCAGGCTCACGACGAACCTCGATCGTGACCGCTCACGCTCGCACCACTCGTTCTGTAGGTGTCATTTGCATGTGTGCAGTCGGCAGTGGACTAAGTACCCCGCAAACCGGGGGATCAGGATGTCGGTGAGTGCAACCCTACTTAGTTGACTGTGTGATCTGTATGACGTGCGGTCGTAGCTGGCACAGCGGGCTCCTCGAAGTACACGTAACACCGACCATGTGCTTCCAACCAGAAAGATATTTCTCAACGACGAGGGTCGCGATTACAACTTGCGTCTCGGACGCGACTTCGACTAAAACATGTCCGCAATGAGCGACTGTCCATTGCATCGGTGCACGCCCCACTGGCATGGCAATGATCGCATCCTCAACCTGCAAAGAGCACGTTCATGCCTATCAATATATTCTGCTTCCTAGTGACATTCTGAGGCCCGGAAAACACTGCCCCGCGCGCAGCATTGCAATTGGCAACTACGAGCCTTGTATTCACTTAAGCACCCGGGCTCGTCTGAGAACTCGAAGACAATATGGCTCGACACAATCTTGCGGAGGACCATATAACCGCAATGCTAAGTTTCAAGTCGCAAGGTCCCCAGCCGGCGCACCCGCCGGCGCCAATTGATTGACTGTAGCTTTGTTGAACTTGTCGGTTGGTGGCTGGCGTCTATCGGCACTGAGCTGCGTCCGAAATCGAACCGTGGCCTCCCCGGGCCGGCATATCATAGACCTGGTGTATGCATACGGATCGTGCCATGGATGCATGACCGTGCACGCTTCTCTCGCACGCTGCTCTACTCTTGACACACCCATCCTGGCTCTGCGTGTATGGATCGTGCCACGCCGGATGCATGATCCGTGCATGCTTTGCTCGTACGGAAGTCAATATCTAAGTGTTGGTTCTTCGTACCAGCCGTAAACACTTCCGCTGCCTGCAGAAACAGCCTTCACAACCCATGCCGAACTCGGAGAAATTGGGGACCACCGAGGACGTCAAATGGGCTGCCTAAAGCTACGAGGAAAAGGAGCAGGAGGAACGCGACCCCGCCTTGATAGCGCGCGGCCGCGGCGGCGGAGGGATGCCGTCCATGGAGCCAGGCAATGGCATGGGCTGGGCGCAGTTGTACCGACGCAGGTCAAGGAGCAGGAGGTCCCCGCCCGCGGAAACCGAACGCCTGCACCAGCAGCACCAACAGCAGGAGCTCCGCGAACAGCAACAGCGCGAGCAGCAGACTCAGTCACTGCGCAAGCAGCCGTCTCGCGAGCAAATGCAGGGTAAGTGGAAGTCTTACTGAATTCGCCCAGCAGCTGATGGATCCTGTCACGGAGACGCGCAAAATCAGTGTGACCCCGCCTGGCCCTGCCATGGGTTCGCCGAGTCGGGACGAGCACAGGCGTGCAGGAGAGGACAAAGAAGAGGTCGCGCGCAAGAGGGCAAATGCCCCAACCACAGACAAGCGTAAGTCGTAAGCGTATGCTGTCTTGAAAGGTTCCGTTATTGGTGATCCGCATACCCTCTTCACAGCATCGCAGAACGCCGTTCGAGCAGACCAGTGCTCAACAACCTGGTCGTTCGCCCTGGCCACCGATGGCGCAGATCAGCATCCCCTAAATCCGACTTCAGATGCTCCCCAGTCCGTTGAATCAACTGCCTCGTACCGGCCCCGCGCCCTTCCAGATGCCTCCGGGCTCGCAGAACGCTCGCAAGCATCGGCCATATTGATTAGAACGGGCGTCATCCATCTCCTCACTTCCTCGGCCGCGGTTAGTGAAAAGCGCGGAGAGCCTCCCCCGAAGTCGTCTCGCAAGAGCTGGAACGTGTCGCCGTGAATCTCTTCAAACATGTGCTCGAAGAGGAGTTGGAAGACGCTTGTTAGGTGCTGGGCCGCGTTTGTCGTCCTGTTGCTCCCCCATGCATCGTTGACAACACTCCGAAACACGGGCGCGTTGCTCAATTCACGGCCAGTGAAAATGATATCCGAAGTAGAAGACCTAGCATCAAGGCAAGCGGATGATTGCGAAGGAAGGAGATGTTGAACGCTCCCCCAATTGGTCTGAAGCGCGTCATCAAAGGGATGTTGCAGATGCGCGGATCGCCGGCAGGAGGGTGGGGCATATCCAGTGCTAGCAGTTGCCGACATTTATATCCTGGGGAGAGGGTCAAGTGCTACTTGCCGTTGCAATTACGTTTGGTGTCTCTGAGCGTCCATGAGGCGCAAGGACACATTAGTCAGAGCATTTGGAGGGGCGCGCGCCTTAAATATTAGCTACCCTCCTCCTCCTCCTCCTAGTCCAAGTAAGGGGCGGAAGGAAAGGTCCCAACCGACAACCTGGCAAGATTACGAAGCAAAGAGCCTTTTGCTTTAGCCTGATGCGTCTCTTCTACTGTTGCTGACCCAGCAATGCAAACGTGTTTGCCTTACTGTCCTACGCCGGCAACTTGAAACTACTTTGATTTTGAGCCTGATAAACTCAGTGTTATATGTTATGAGCCCACCCTTGAATATTTCAAGGTCAGCCAGAGGACGGGATCATGCTGTTTGCACACCGGAAAACGAGCGACTGGTTTCGCCCGCCAAAACTGGCCTGGCGGAATAGGCGCCGAAATTGCACCTGGCGATTTTTTTCCACAGCTGCAGAAAGCAGGCAGCTCCTATCGTGTCCGTGAGAATAGTAAGGTGATGTGTAGCAACATCACACGATTTCTCCTGCGCGAAGTGATCCTACGTGCAACAAGCAAAATGGTCGTTTGCCTTGCTGCGCCAAATTGCATGACCGTGTCAGCCACAGCACGCCATCCTCGGCCTCTCACATTCCAACCCCGGACAGCGAGCCATCCTCTCCTTCTCCAGTTACCATAATTAGCAAAGGGATGAATTGATGACGTGGAGGGGCTGGGAGAAGCAAGCAAAGGATACAATGGATGAGCAGAAGCGAGCCTTCGTTTGGCCTGGGTTGCGATGCGCCGAGTCAAGACCATGTTGAGACCACGCAACAGGATCAGAAGGGTGTCCGCCAGAAAGGAATGCAGCCCCAATCATTAATGATTTAGTTGACCATATGGGAAGTGCGTCGTGGCACAGTTGGTTGAACGCCCTACGGGGTGCATGGAGGCTGGGGTTCGAACCCTGTGCCAGGAGCTTTTGCGGTCCTACGGGATCTATGCTACCCGCTCACTGTTTCGCGACGCACAAACCCCTCTGTAATTGCGGTCATCTACGGTCGCCGTCGTCAGGCAATAATCCCTCGTGGACTTGGCTGTTCGGCATAGACCTCCTTTTCATTTCCCTTGTTTTGTTCTGTTTTGGTGGGTCTAGTAGCCAATTCCAGCTATTTGCGTAATGTTAGATGCCCCTGGTCAGTTGCGCAGATGGTCAGGGCTCCAATCACTCCAGGTCCGCAATGTTGCGCGCCCAATGACCACGACGAAGGCTGGCGCTTGCTCTCAAGTGAAGCTTCGTTTTGGGAGTCCATCTGTACGTACAATGCCCCGGGGATGTCTATCGTCGCGCAAATAACTGTCAGGGAGGGAAGCCGGCATTTGATACAGCGCTATACTTTTTCTAACTTGCGGTTTGCATCTGTCAGCATTTATTCCCTGCAATGCCTCGTCTCATCCCAGCTCATCCCCGGGCCACCGCACGCCCTTGGATGGCAAACAAACAACAAATTGTGCCTGGCGCAAACCGCTGGTAAGCTTGTTGTCTAATAATTATCCAGTTATACTGTACGGCGTGCTATGGTGCTGTTGTATTTGGACGTGCTAGAAAAGGCCGCGAGATCGACAGAGCCACATAAACAAGTGAACGCCATTGCTGTATCTGGCGCGAGACTCCTCCACCCGACACCACTCGGTGAACGCGGAAAGATCCATTTTGTTGCGAATATCCAAAGCATGTGTTGCAGCATCCCAGGTGCCGTTGTCCTTGAATGCTAGCCATGTTGCAATGGCAACAAAATCATTCCAAGGACAGCCCTTGCCTGGCTGGTGGGGCCGATGCGCATCAGGCATGTACCGGCCAATAGGTGCACCACAGCCAAAGCAATAACCAGCGCTGCCTGAGCCTGGCTGCGACGCACGCTTGAAGTCAACCCAACCCATGCCATGAGGCACAAATGTGACTCCAAGCGTGGAGCAACAGTCCGCAAAAAGGGTCTTATGCTTTGGCACAAGTCGACCTCCCACCATCCAGCAAACGGGGCATTTGCCTTTCAGTCTTGTCAGATAGCTTGACAAGGTAGCTGATAGGGTCTGCCGTGCTTTTTCGTCCATTCTCGCGTCTGCGGCTTCAAACTCAACCACCGCTCTGGAAGTTGAATGATGGTGCTCTTGGCGTGCCTGAATTACTCAACATCAGCCACTTCTGCCCAGGCAAATGTGTGGTATATACTGGCTGACCTGCGGATTATAGCTGGGTACATCTGCTTGTAAGAAGACAGAGTCATCCATGCCATCATACATGTACGCGTCGTCGTCCGCTGCTGGGGATGTACTGGCATGCGCTTCCGAGTTGATGGGTTGTGACCCGAAAGACAGCTTCTGCAGGCACCTCTCAGAAGGCACAGATGAGCGAGACGAACAGTCCCTGATGAGCTGGAGCATCTCTGTGTCCGGCTGGCAAACATCACATAGCTCGTCGCCGTTTGCCTCGTTGCAACTCTGCAACTCCCCATCCATGGCAGCCGTGAGGATTGACCGGCGACATTCCTTCGAGTTCCTTGCTAACTGGTTCATGATTCTGGAAAGGCCAAAATCAGGTTCCTCAACCTTGCGCGTATCTCCGTCATGTGCCAGCACAACCATACATGGACGACCTCGACGACCTCCTCTTGCTGCAGCCTGGACGAAGTCGACGGCCCCATGAGGGCTATGGAGGAAGATGATGAGATCAACATAAGGGGCGTCAATGCCGTGAACAAATGCACTTGTGGCCGCGATACATCGTTCAGCTGGCCTCGAGCTCGTCATCCAAGTATGCTGGGCATCATCCCGGTCCTTTGTGGACATTTTCGCGTGGTACTTCAAGCAACCAAGCTTGGAGGAGATATCGTCGCAGTCAGCCACCGTAGAACAAAAGACGACAACATTGGAGTCTTGCTTGACGAGCCCTCTCCGATGACACTCGTGTGCTAGGTTCCACACCAGCGACCGGACATCCTGCGCTGACCGGCAATGGATGTTATGATACCGAAGCTCCTTTCGACCTGTGCGTTCGCGGATCATCGTCAACCTATCTGGTTGCATTCCAATCTTCTGGAAGAAAGCATCCTCGTGATCTGGGCTGATTGTGGCGGAGAGGTATATCTTGGGAAAAGCCACCTGACGCAAGCGGTCGATCTCTTTCAGTTGAGGGCGGAAGAGAGAGGAAGTGAGGATTTGATGTGCCTCATCCACAACAATACGGCGAAGACGATTTTTCTGGGCTTGAATGAAGCTTCCGTGGAAAATCAACAGAGCACAGATGAGGCAAAACTGAGGTCAACGCACGTGAAAAGTGACGCAAAACGGCAATGTTCCCAAGACGCGAACAACAGCTGAAGGTCGTCTGGAGGAGGACTAGAAGAGTTGAATCTGGCTGCCTTGATCCCATTTGCAGCCGCCCGCCGGAGTTGATCGTTGATGATGGCAACAAACGGGACGAACACAATTGAGAGACCTTTGTCGTCTGTGACTGCAGGCACTTCGTAGCACATGCTCTTCCCACCGCCAGTTGGCAGTATGGCGACGACGTTCTGGTCAAGGGAGAGGGATGACGAGATGAGACGGTACTGAGAGTCTGATGTAAACGTGGCCTCCGGGTTCCGCAGCGTGATCTGCAGACATTTCAGCACTTCGGCTTTTGGGATCACGGCCACAGAGGGCTTTGCTGAGACAACTCCATGTGATGGTTCCGGGTGGCGTGCAGGGAAATCATGATACCTAGGAGTTGGGCTAGGAGTTTGGCCACTGAGGGTTGACTCGAGGTCAGCAGTTGATGGGAGACTTGGAGTTGCGTTCATGGTAGGCCCAGAACCCAACTCGTCAACGTCCATGAGTTGCGAGGCTTGCTCTTCGTGTGCCTGATCCCCAGGGGAAGGGATGGAAGAGTCAGATGAATGGCCCAATGGCTGCTGATGCTGTTGGTTTGGCTGTGGGGGGTAGCTGAAAGGCGGTGTGAGCAGGTTTGGGATGGGGTGAGCGGAGTGGCCAGAGGTTGAGCGCATGGCAGCAAGACCGTCCATAACAGACGTGCGTACAAGATCTTCCAGCTCAACTTTGAGCGATTCAATCCCTCGAGTCACTGCGCCAGCCACAAGCCCAGAAAGCTGAGCAAGATCAAAAGTGGGCTGGGCAGGGAGCGATTGATTGGACTGGGCAGTTTGACCACTGCCAGTGTTTGCCTGATATCCGAACAGACGCAGAGCAACAGGGCACGGTGACTCGCCAAGACCCATCACATTGTGCCACGCTGCGCCAAACTGGCGACTCTGGAGCATGGCGTCTGTGGTGAGGTATGGAAGATGTCCCACCTCCCGAGCGTAGACACGACGTGCCATGTCCGTGTTGTGGTTCATGGATTTGTCGCCAAAGTTGTCGACAATGCCAGAAGGGGGGATGAACTCGCGCATGATTGATACCGCTATGTGTCGCCAGTAATGGAGTGATAGGTCGCAGCCCATGTAATCATGGGTGACGCGTTCCAGGATGTGGGAAAACTGCCCTGAGTCAAGTTGCTCGCCGTTGGACATCCACATATACTCGCGGTGGTTTGCCCTGGCCGCATCATCATCCAGCACATGGGAAATGATGTTTTCAACTGGACGAACTAGCACGAGGTACCAGTCAACAAGGGCTGCAACAGGTTCAGGGCATAGAGTGGGAACCCATGACAGGGACTCCGTGAGGGCAGAAGTCTTCGTGCGCTGGTGAATGAACCACGTCCCATAATTCTTGTACATGTTTCGTGGGATCTGGGCATTGCTGAGACGGGTGTCCACAAACTCCGTTCCTCGGGGTGGTGGGGCAGGAGTCATGAAGCAGAGGACAGCCAGCTCAGAAACGAGTTCGGAAAGGTCTCGGCGGAGTGCCTGGAGCCCAGGGTGATTCCATTGGAACTCGCCGTTATTGTCAACGTGAGCAAGGGAATATTTGGGGTGTTCAAGGAGAATCTTGAGAAGAGGGAGATCGGTGGGAGTAAATTGGCCCAATGTGAGCCAAGAATAACCAACTCGATCATCTGTCAGATCTTCCGTCAAGTCAGCAGGGACGCTGAGTGGTATAACGTGGCCGTCAGACAGCTGCTGCATCCGTTGTTGGACGCTCTTGACAAGTTTCTGCAAACCATCGTGGAGGCGGGAGATTTGTAGGGTTCGCCCTTGGCAGGTAACAGAGGTCATGTCAGGCGACCAGGTGATTTTTGGTGCGGCAGGCTGTTGTAAGGCCAAAGACGATGCAAAGCGCTGGTGATCACGGAGGGTATTCCATGGACAGGCGTGGTCGTCTGTCAGCCATTGTTGACACAGTGTCCTAATAGCACTGGATATCCATTTTCAATTTAAGAAGTGCCAGCACCAATTATGCAAAGCAAAAACTCACCCCTGCAAGTGATCAGGATAATTATCTTTCTCTATCATCCCTTGACACATGTATACGTTGCGCAAGAGGTATTCCCATTTTGCCAGAACAGGCGTGTAGTCCTTTGCCGTAAGGAATCGTCCGTCTTCTCGCAGGCTCGAGACTGCAAGCCAACACGTGAGGGGACATTGCCATTGATCTGAGTCAATCCCTTCAACGGAAGTAGCAACTGAGCTCCAAAGGGTCTGGTGAATCAACCTCTGGAACTCTTCCTCTGAGTGGCTGTCCTCTTGGCCCAAACAGTCGTAGAGGAGGACAGCAAGAGCTTTGCAGTTATCGCTGAGAGGGAACGCGTACTTTGAAGGATGATGATGCAATGACCTCATAACAGCAGCCAGGAAAGTAGTAGCAGGAGTGGCGTAGGCTGCCAGCGTATCAGCCCTTTTGTGTGGCTTCCAGCATCCTACGTTGTCGGGGTCCCTGAAAGGGGAGGAAATATCTAAGTGATCGCCCAAAAAGATAATGTCAAGGTACAAACAAGGGAAACCTGTGGAGCATGCGCCGAATGACCAGGGCAGTTCGGTCAGCCAGAGTACCTGTTTCTTCTAGGTATGCGATAACGTGCTTGCGGAGGACAACAAAGCGGGGCTCCTTCTTGTCAGGTGTTTTGGCCAGCAAAACCAGGTTGTTGATGTCTTCCTGTGTCCGCGTGAATGGCTGGAGATGTTCATTCCACTTGGCCATTTGGACAAGGGGATCAAAGTCCTGCTTGTCTTTTGACATGAGTAAAAAGGGGGGTGGGAGCGTGGGATAGATCTTGGCAAGGAAAGTGTAGTAGGGGTGATTGGGATCAGTTCCAGAGAGGGACTGGAGGACAGCAAAATACCGCTTTGGCTGGGGGAAGAAGAAGGTTTGGACGTCTGCCGCCTTGGAGCGGTTTGCCCTGATTTGCCATTCGCCAATAATATCCTGATGCTTGCTGTACCAGTGATCATCAATGGATCTGGGCTGGATGCAGGCATAAGCGCAGCCTGGGGCAACACAAGCAAGCCCTTTATGAACCAGAAGCTTCTCCACAGGAGGCCCGTTTGGTCCAGGGAGAATGACGTCATCAGCATGGGTGCATAGGTCAAACTCTTGGATGGTCGCCTTTAGCTCCTGTTCGGTAGTCTTGATGTTTGCGTTGTGCGAGCTGTTGGCATGGCCAACAGCGTCTCTCGGAAGCCAGGCCACCCCACAAGTCAGACAATGGAGTGTCTTGAATTGTTTGTGACACGCAAAGCCAATCTTTTCAAGAAAGGGGTTGGACTGTAGCTCTGATTCAGAAACTGGACGATCGGAGGCTTCGTGCCAGTAAGCGCAATATTCGTGATCTTACAGGAGTCAACTCACATTGTAGTACAGCAGGTGGAACCTGGGTAATAACCTCAGAATTTCCCATGGAGTTTGAATCAACCAAAGCTGAGATAATATCAGGTAATGTTGGTTGTTTTCATGAGATGAAAACTTACAATGATCTGGCTTGGTCTTGGGATAAGGCTCCGCTGCTTGACGGGGATCCTTAGCATGGGATCCTTTGTTGTGGGCCTCTGTTGAAAAAATTGGTCAATATAGGTTGTGTGAAAGACAACAATAAGCTTGCTTTTGGCATGCATCATCTCCTTGTGTTGTTCCAGACTATGTTGGGAATTGAATTTCTTTTTGGGACAAAACTCGCAGAGAAATCTGTAGGGAAGGTCAGTCAAAAGAGAAACATGAACTGCCAACAACTAACATCGCAGACTGAGCAGAACTCATTGCCGCAGTAGGTTGTTATGAGAGGATGCCAGCGGTGGTTAGGTGTCAAGATATGAGGACATAAACAAGGCCATACGGGTCATCTTTGCATTTGTTTGGACCAAGACCCTTTGCCCGGGCCATCACCCTCCCAAATACAAGCTACAAGCTTCTCTGAGGGTTGCCAGGATGGTTCTTGGCTCACTGCTTCATGTTGTCCATAGTATTACAATGCTAATGCATGCCAGGCCTGGGCTTTGCCACAGGTCTAGCAGCGGTCCTTTTGTTCTGTGTGGGGAGGGGCAACACCTGCAGAGCCACTTTTTATTTGTCTTTATTTGGCCACCGGGTTGGCGCCCAGTTGAGTGGCACAAAAAGTGAAGTTGCTTTCACAACATCTCCCCGCCACGTAATAAACGAAGGTGAAATATGTTTATATGAAACGAGCGTCGCCAACCCGTGGCTTCGCCACGGGTTGACGGGGCAGTTCTTTCATTCACTGCTTCATGTCACCCATAAGATTACAATGTTAATGCATGCCAGACCTGGGCTTCGCCACAGGTCTGGCGGCGGTCCTTTCGTTCTGTGCTCCATGTTACTTCTAAGGTTACATACTAATGCAATGCCAGCCTGCGGCTTCGCCACGGGCTGGCGGCGTTTGGTTCATTCAATGCTGCGTGTGCATCTTGTGATTATTGATGCGTGTTTTCCTGGTGCTTATGCAGTCTTCCCGTTGATGCCATGTATTTCCCCAGTACTGACAAGTACTGACTACATATTTTGTGATTTCCCGTTATTGACATATCCTGGTCTCCCAGTACTGACTTGTCTCGTATTTCCCGTTACTCATGCTTCCCATTTGTTGCCCATAGCTATGTATGCTCCCACTGTGTGATGCCCATTTTGTGCGGAAATCCCACCTCAGGGACACCTCAGGGAAGTATTAATATTATGCAGGTGCAGGCGAGCAGATGGTGCCCGAGCTGTTGCTACCTGGTTTTCCCATTACACAGGTGCTGTTTCCCGTGACTGCTCTCTTCCTGGCATTTCCATTGTGGCTGACCTTCATGTCGCCCATAATCTTACAATGCTAATGCATGCCCGGTGGTCCTTTCATTCTGTGCTCCATGTTACTTTTGAGGTTCAATGCTAATGCAATGCCAGCCTGTGGCAAAGCCATGGGCTGGCGGCGTTTGATTCACTCAGTGCTGCCTGTTACTCCTGTGATTATGTATATCTTCCCAGTGCTTACTTCCCGTTACATTACTACTGAATAAATATTCCCTGGAGTTGCTTTCCCGTTATTGACATGTCTTAGTCTCCCAGTTGTTTACTTGTCTTGTATTTTCCGTTACTCATGCTTCCCATTCATTGCCTTATGCTCTGCCCCCGCCGTGTGATGCCCATAATCACCCACTGATGAGCACGGAAATCCCACTTCGGGGACACCTCGGGCGGGATTGCATGGGTGCCAGTGGGCAGAAGGCACCCGAGCCATTGCTGCCCATTTTCCCAAGAGGCAGTCCAAGTTTTCCTGTCACAGGGATATTTTTCCCGTTACTTTTCCACTCTCGCAATGTTTGTTGCCCGTTTCGCATGAGCAGCCACTACCTCGGGGAAGCGTCGGGCGGGGATCGCGCAGGCGCCCAAGGGCGGAAGACGCCAGAGCTTGTGGGAGGAGGGTGCGCCACATGGAGGCCACAAGGCCAACATGGGTGCCATGTGTGTGGAACGTGAGATTCTCATGTGCGATCTGCGCCAGATGTAACATTGTCCCATTCCTTTTAGATTTGAGCAGAAATCTAAAAGGAGTGGGACGGCGGTGTCGATGTGGCGCGCGTAACTCGCGTGGTTTTCGCGTATGCTCGCGTGGAGCGCACATGGCGTCCACGTTCGCCACGTGGCCTCATGTGGCGCACCCTCCTCCCATAAGCTCCCGGTGTCTTCCACCCGCGGGCGCCTGCGTGAGCCAGCCCGAGGTGTCCCCGAGGCAGAATTTCCGCGTGAAATGGGGGAAGTGACGGAAAAATGAGTAGAAAAAATACACATAGGTTATAAATGGGAAGCTTGAGTGACGGGAAGAAAAATATAACTCAGTGCTGGGAAATAGGACAGCTCAGCACTGGGAAATGAGATATCAATACCGGGAAAATAAGGAAGATTGGTACCAGAAAACAGGACACATCAATAAGTACCAGGAAATAATGGGAAACACAGCAGTAATACCAAAGAAATAAACGCCAACTTGAAGAAGACAGAGGCCGGGAAATATTGAATAAAAATGTAATCACAAGGGCAACACACAGCATTGAATGAACCAGATTAATATCAGTACTGGGGAAACAGGACGCATCAATACCGGGAAATAATGGGAAAAACAGAGGTAATATGGAAGAAATGCCCTGCAGTTGATTATAAAATCACAAGACAAATGTATACACAGGAGAGTGTACTGCAGGCCGGGAAACATTGAATCAAAATGTAACCACAAGGGCAACACACAGAATTGAATGATCCAGATGCTGCCAGCCCAAGTATGTAATCTTAAAAGTAACATGAAGCAGCGAATGAAAACCCACTGCCAGACCTGTGGCGAAGCCCAGGTCTGGCAGGCCCAAGCATTGCAATCTTATGGGCGACATGAAGCAGCGAATGAAAGAACCGCCCCGTCAGCCCATGGCGAAGCCACGGGTTGACGACGCTCATCTAAAAGGAGTGCCACGGCGGTGTTGATGTGGCGAGCATAACTCGTGTGGTATGCTCGTGTGGCGTCGACGTTCACCACGTGGCCAGGCTTAGAGGTCATCCTGATACGTCAAAGGACTGTGCTTGTAGTCCAGGCCTGATACATAAATGCTGTAGTTTTTAAATGGTCTGCAGATGTATGAATGCCTTACAGACTGATGTATGAGTTGTACATCCACCAGATGCTGGCAGGCCCATGTATGAAACACAGTGACTACTGCAAATGCTTCATACATAGATTGCGGTGACTTACCATGCACCTTCATACATGAAGGAGCAGTAATCACCGCAGCCAGTGCTCCGCTCTCTACCCAAGAGGGCGGCGGCGCTTTAGGTCACCCCACGCCGGGGAACAGAGCTCGAGGCGGTGGCCCCTACCCATAATAGGTGCTGTCGCACGCTCTTCCACTTTGAGCCCCATTGCAGGCCCATTGGGCCAATGCAATCGTGATGTGCAATTGGCAAGATCTGACTTTTTGGGGACTAGGCACAGTGCCGTATATAGGGTATATGTCGTGATCCATGACATACGCACTGTGTGTCGCACTCCGTGACATGCACTTTGAACTTTGTTCTTTATACAATAATACCATTTACTGATTCAACTTCATAAAGCGGCAGCACTCTCGATTTGGTATGTTTGATGCCCCGACAGTTCATCGCACTCTAACAGTAGTAAGGATGATATGTATTCGTGCACGTATCCATGATGTACAGTACAGTATGCTAAGTACTCAGAGCTCCAGGGCGTCAACGAGGTCCCTTGCGAGCAGCCCCGTAAGCTTGGCCTCGACATCCTCCATGTGCTTCATCCCAGCCCTGCACTCCTCCACAACCTGTACGACACGCTCGGGGACCTGCGCTGAGCATGCCTGCGACGTGCAAGAGGAGCGCGTGCGTGGTGGTGAGGTGGTGCAGCAGC